CCGAATAAGAATTAGAGTACCTTTACCATGAGGGAGAATAAGAGTTATTATGGCCATACAGTAGTGAGTGGTTAGATAATAATAGTTTTCTTATCTAACTTTCTAAGCTATGGTTTTCCCAGCAGTGATGTATGGAAGTGAGAACTGGACCATAAAGAAGGCTGATCGCCGAAGAATTGATGCTTTTGAATTATGGTGCTGGAGGAGACTCTTGAGAGTCCCATGGACTGCAAGAAGATCAAACCTATCCATTCTGAAGGAAATCAGCCCTGAGTGCTCACTGGAAGGACAGATCCTGAAGCTGAGACTCCAATACTTTGGCCACCTCATGAGAAGAGAAGACTCCCTGGAAAGGACACTGATGTTGGGAAAGATGGAGGGCACAAGGAGAAGGGGACGACAGAGGACGAGATGGTTGGACAGTGTTCTCGAAGATACAAACATGAGTTTGACCAAACTGCGGGAGGCAGTGGAAGACAGGAGTGCCTGGCGTGCTCTGTGTGTAATCGGAAGGAAGGAAGGAAGGACGCCCAGCTGTGCTCAGTGGTTTTCACCTGTTTGCGGATGGGTTTAGGATCGCAGTCTTTAGAAGATGCCAGTCACTAGGCGCTGGGATGTGACATCAGAAGCAGCAAGAAGCCCCGTTAAGAGGTGGTGAAGAAGGAGAAGGAGAAGGAGAAGGAGAAGGAGAAGGAGAAGGAGAAGAAGCAGCCTTTATTAGGACCAACCAAAATTGTCCCGAAAACGTGGCAAGCTTTCGAGTTCTCCAAAGCTCTTCAGATGCTCCACCAAGCAGCGAGCGAGCTTGGGTGTGGTAGCTGGGAGGTCAGCTCCAAGGTGTGCACTGCAGCCCACTAACTCGGCTTCCTCCACTTTAGGCGTCCTTGGTTCCAGGAGTGCCAACTTGAATAAAATATGGGGGGGGGGGAGGAAGCAGGTAAGCCCCGACCAGCATAATTGATCCCAAGACCCATGCACACCGTTTGAATGGCAATGCCCAGCAACGGAGGGGACGAAGGGACCTCGGCCCCTAGGAGTTGGCTCCTATGCTTGATTCTAATGTCCAGAAGTAGTACTTAGGGTGGGTGCCGGTGGCTCTCCTTCGAAGCAAGCTCTTCTGGATCAACAGAGGTTTCGTTTAAGGAGGCGCATTTGATGTCAGGAGCGTTGAGCAGGAAGATAACCTGAATCCAAAACCTAGCGGAGGGCCCGGTTTACACAGGAACGCAAGATGGGTTTCACACAGGCTCTAAATGGGACTCTGTAGGGAAGAGGGTTGTTGCTGAGCACTCCCTAATCCAGATCTTAAAAGAGCGGGGTGGGGGGTGCTCTTTGCTGAACCAGCGCCATTCACACAACCGGTGGTTCTCAGTCCTGGCTACTAAGGAGCTTGAAAGCGGTTTAAATTTGTCGTCTGAGGTCAGACCAAACTGAGACAACTTGTCCACCGCTTCCTTCGACTGGATTGCGGGCAGCGTCTCTTAAGAGTTTGGGGTTTGTCTGGTTGGTTCTTCTCCAGGGAAAATTTATCTCCAGGGAAAACCACACCTCCGGACCCTCATGACAGGACTTGGGGGCAGAGGGCCAGTGCCAGGGCCAGGGCCAGGGCCCCTCTCACCGGAAAGAGCAGCACTTGCGTTTTAAAGGCAGAGAAACGAATAACACGAGATGCATTGCCAACTAAAGAGCGGAGGGCGTAAGACCACGAACTCCAAATTTGCAAATGTCAGCGATTTCACCCCCTGTTAGAAATAAGAGATCGTATTTTGCCTTGATAGCGATGGTGAGTTTCCACCGCCAGAAGCTCTATTAATTCCATTCCTCCAGAGTTTTTATCAGGCAGGAAATGCAGGCGAGAATAAAGAGTATATTTCCATCCTACAACCTTATCCTGGTCGCTTTGATCCTTTCCCACGGAAGGACTCCCGCGGCGCGGACGGGTCTACTTTTTGAGCTCAGAGTGTCAGGGAGGCGGCAGCCGGCCGACCTTACAGGGGTGTAGCCTTGGAAGTCAGTCCCGGAAATGGCGAGGCGTGTCCCCCCCCCCCAACAAGTGAGAAAACCTGCGCGGCAGAAGATAGCCCAAGCGGCCAAGCCCCATTGAAGCCAGCAGGGCTTAAACATTCCCAGTGAAGAAGCAGGCAGGGGGCTGGCTCAACCAATTGCAGCAACAAGGCACGATATTTCATATTTATTATTATTATTATTAATCTTGTTGTTGTTACACCGCTCAACGTCACAGTAGGCTCCTAGCAGATTTACAAAATCGATCAAATCTCCTCCAAACTAAAGCGAGCTTCCTGTCACCCGGGCCCCACGTCCATTCTCAACAATGCCCAGGCAGAAAGATCTTGCATACTGTATTTGCCTTTTGCACGGTGGGCCTCCGCTCGGTAGAGCAGGATGAATCCCACTAGCTTGGGGAAGGGGGTTGTTTCTAAGCAAGGGTAGGAGGAATTAGGAGCCCGGGCTGATTTTGAAAGGTTCAATCCTGGAAGATATGAAATAATAAATGAGTGGTCTCTGAGCATGTGCAAAGAACCGTTCCCTCAGCAGGCACTCCGCAATGAGTCCGCCCCTCCTCGCCCACTCCCCTGCAGCTGAAATGGGAGAAGGGCGGCACGGCTTGCAGTTCATTCTTGGGGACATTCCTCGCCTCTCCTTCCTTCCTTCCTTCCTTCCTTCCTTCCTTCTCTTCCTTCCATCATTAACGGTGAATCACCGTTTCACCTCGTTCATTTCAAATGGAATCTGAAGTCCGTGTGGCTCCAAAGCCCTTGCAGGGTTTGTGCCTCGTTTAGCTGCCACATTGGAGGGGGGGGGGACACCTGTGCCCCTTCCCTCCGGGGTCTTTGCCCCAAGCCGCAGCCAGATCCATGTTTGGGAGGAAGACGAGGGCGCGCTTCTCTCGCTCCTCCCTTCTTCCTGCCTCACGTCTGTTGGGACCTACACTGCACCCCGACTCCACAAAGAAGTTAAGGGTCTCTGTTGTTTAAAAAACAAAACAATAGGAAGATCCAGTAGCCCAGTTTGGGCACCAAATCCACCCGAAAAGCCTTCCCACCGATTTGCTGCTACAGTGTTTGCCATGACTTCGACGGGACGGGGCTGTGCTTTTGAGGACCGTGATGTCCTTCGCGGCTGCAGCGCCCGGTTGGACGGAGCCGCGGCCTTAAAACTCACCGGCGTCCCTCGCATAGCTGTCAACGTTTCCCTTTTTTTAAGGGAAATCCCCTTATTCCGAATAGGATTCCTCGCAAGAAAAGGGAACGTTGACAGCTATGGTCCTTCGGAGCTCAGCGGGACGCAAACACCTAGGTGAGAGAACCTGCTCATCCAGTTTCCATCCTCGGTGCCTAGCGGCCATGCCCGCGGGGGCTGACGGGAGCTGGAGTGTCACAGCAGGGCTGGGAAGATCCCGGCACAAATCCATCCCCGCTCAGCCACGAGGCTCGTCTTGGCTTGGCTTGGGGTCAACCATTGCCCGTTTCTCAGTCTAATCTACACCGCACGGTTGTTGCGATGATAAACTGCGGGGGGACAGGGAGGGAAAGAGAATTTCGTGTCTTGCTTTAAGCTCTGTGGAGGGATTGAAAAATGTGATCAGATAAACATAATAATGAATCCATCGCAACCCGGTTTAATTGGCTTTGAGGGGTGGTGATCCCCCTTGCCCTGGGAAGGGATCCTTTGGCCAAACGTGAGCGCCTCTTTTGCCTCCGGCTCTGCTTTAAAGCACCAGGATGCTAAGAAGCAAAACTCGCCGCCGCCCCCTTGCTGGTTGGGTGAAAGGAAGGATCTTCGGATCTTTGCGCGCGTTTCAAAGACCTCCGGGGGTCTGCCAAGAGCGTCGCTCTCTGGCCCACCCGGTCAGAGAACGGCTGAACCAAAACAGCCGCCTGGATCAGAAGGCAGGGCTCCTGCCAAGAGTTACTCATTAGCGTCGGCTGGTCAGGGGCTTCGGAAGTCCCTGCGGAAATCTGCGGGACGCACCTCCACTGGAGCGCAACCTGGAGGAAGCGGGGCGGCTCCTCTCCGAGTCCTGTTGCTAAGCACACACCGACCCCACCACCCGCAGAGTGCACGCATAAGATGCGTTTTGGGGTTAGGCCCAGCGTCCTCAGGATGGGGGATTAGGGGCTGCCTAGGACCGAGGGCCGGGCGGAAAATCGCGCTGCTAAACCTCGCAGGCCTTTCCGTGGGGCTTGCGCAGGAAGGCTGACCCCGCGTGCTTTGTGCAGCAGCACTCCTAGGATCGTTTGGGAGTGAGGGTAAGGACGCCTAGGATTTCATTCATTCCACGTCTTGCAGGGCAGTGGGCCTCACTTCCAGGTGAGGGTGGACCCTTGGAAACCCCCCCACACACAACCCTAGTACACCCTTAGCAAAGGGATGCTTACAAGCACTAGATTGTCTTCTGCTTATTGGACGGAGCAGACGATCTAAAGTGATCCAGGATGATGATCCTGAACATGGACGTATCCAAGGGAGGGAGAGCGGGGGCAGCTTCCCCCCCATCAATAAAAAAAATACACAGCAAACTGAGGTTCTGAATAAATGTACTGGAGGAACCAGATGTTGATTCCTCTTAAACCCGCGTCTCTTATGGAGAAAACAAATCAGGGGTGATACTCTTATTCCATTTACACGGGCGTTGTAGAAACTTCTCCGGGACCCTTTTGTTATTCCCTAAACAAAAGGGAACTTTTAAACAATCTTTCGGCGGGCTTAGTATGAGTCCTATATCTGATGCAGCCCATGTATATAGTACTGTACTAGGAGATAAGCCGCTCGCCCCACGAGTCCTGTCAAAGCCTCGGTGCTGACGCTGCTTGTACTGCCTGCGAAGAACGCAGCCGAAAGTTGGTTGCTGTTGAGGTTCCCATGAATTCATCCTCGTACAGTTCTCAGATGAGACTGGAGGGGAGAAGACAGAGTTCGAGTTCACCTTTTCCTCCCTGCTCCCACCCGGTCATGGAAGTAAATTATATTTTATTCCAACAGATTTGTTTATTTAAAAAAACCAAAAACCTCAAGTTCCAACGAACTCAAAGCGGTTTCAAAATATGCTCTCAGATCGGGTGTCATTGACTCAACTGCAGGCGGGTGACAGCGATTTGCAGATTGCGGCCTAACCCGCGGATGGGAAGTGTGCAACGGGACTTACTCGCGTGTAAAGCGGGTTCCGCTCAAACGAGTGGGAATTAAGTTCGAGGGGGCGTCCTGCAGATGCACTCCCGTCCCTTGCCGGAGATGAAAAGCACTCGAGCGCATGTTAGATTTCACGCAGACCGCGAATCTGAAGGAGAGAGAGAGAGAAAGAGTCCTCAGAGGACAAATAGTCCACCAAGAGAAACCGACCCCTCCCCTTTTTAATTTTGATTTCCAATATGTTTCTTCCTGCCTCACGATCTTTGAAGTACCTTTAAAAAAAATGTTAACGTTCTATCATTGCTTTGTTGGCTGATAGTGAACGTGCAACAGGCGAAAGGAGGGAGGGAGGGAGTGGAGAAGGAGAGAGAGAGAGAGAGAGAGAGAGAGAGAGAGAGAGAAGCGCTACAGAAGCAAAGGGGAAGGAGGAGGCTTAAGATTCCTCCTTGTTCCAGAGTCTGATTTGGCCCGCGAAGGCGAAAAGGAGAAGTGTCCTGTTTTCAGAACTAGCGACGCCACGTCTCCTGTCCTCGGTTTTGCAGCAGTCTGCGCGCTGCAATGCTTCCTAGGCATGGTCTGCTCGGTCGTAAGCGCCACGGACTTCCATTGGACACACTTCCTGGACACTTGCATACAGGATTGCAACCCAGATTTAGTTCCCCATGACAATAATTCCAGAGCAAGCTATAAAATAATAGCGCAACTCATTCTCTCCCACTTTTTTTTTTTCTTTTAGCTCAACACAAAATAGACAGTGCCCCTGGAAATAATTTGATTGATCTTCCATAATCAGCAGACGCTTTACCTGGCAAACACAGCAGGCAAACAAGGGGTTTGTTTTGGAACTCAGATTCCTCCCCCCCCCCCAGCCATTTTAAAAAATCTACGCGTGTATAAGATGTATAAATAACAGAGGTAATGTCTGTCGATGGATTTCAACAACATTTACTTCCCAGCCAGTATATTTAGGATGTCAGAAAAAGGCACGTGAACGGGAAATAACATAACATCAATTTTTTTGCGGAGGGGGAGATTTATTTCTTTTTACTAACAGGTTGGCTTCGGCTACAGTCTTGTGCCCCCTTACTTGGGACGTGACCCGAGCTGAATAAAGTGGGACTGGTAAAAACCGTAGGATCGCGAGCTACACGATGCCCTTATACCGATTCTAAGCTAAACGCGTTTAATAGGAGATTTCTCGTAAAGGATCAATAGTATTAGTGATGGAATCCTGTTGATAAAGGTGACTACCCTTCTTATCGAACTCATTGCAGATTTCATCTCAGTTATTAAGACACTCACAACAGGGGAACAGATGCAGCGTTCACAACATCTCATATCGGCGTCGCGGTGCAGTTTAAACCGACGCGCGTCTCTGCAGGTTCGATTTGCAGCAGCAGCTTAAGAGACCAGCGGTTGGGTCCTTAAAGATATATCTCGTCCCCATCCTCTATAGCAGCAGCCTTTGCAAGACCCCCTTAAAACGATTTTTTGGAAACATTATTTTTTGGCAGATCGTCTGCCTGAAACCATGAAGAGGAGAGTCCGGAGGAATGAATGACAAGCTTGCGGGTACTTGCACAAATTGCTTGGTTCCTGCGCACTCTCCCAGTTTTTTTCCTCAAAGGGATGCGGAGGCAGAATTCACCTTCCGCTGCACTTGTAGAAAGCCCGGCGAATCCAAGCGTCTATTATCTATTATTATAAAGACAAGTAGGACACTGACAGACAGCTGCGGAGCACCGGGTGGAAAATCTGGGCTCCGGGAGGGAGCAAGTGACTGAAAGATCCCAGCATTTTATTTTGGCGAAACGGGACTCTCCTTAGTGGCGGCGAGAGATGCGCCAAGCTGCATTTCGTACTACCGCGCAGCCGGATCCTGTGCGTGTGGATTTGGAAGCAAGCCTTTCTGTGTCGGAGGAGGCTAACTCCCAAATAAGTGTGTGTGGGACTGCCTGCCCCCCCCCCGCGCCACCTTTTCTGGCCAGGACCACAGTGGGGAGATGCGATGGTCTATTCTAAAGCCTTTTTCCCTTCTTTTTTGCTCAGCGCAGTTTGCTTTGAGATTCTCTACGTTCTGTCACACTAACACGCCGCATTACACGCCGGGACACACTGACCTGCCTCGCTGAGTACAAGGTGCAGGGGGTCCTGCTATTTTGGGGGGGAGGGTGGGGTGGGAGGACGGTACCCCGAAACCTCATATCTCGGAACAAGGCGCCTCTTCAGCCCTGGAGGGCAAAGTCGGTGAAGAAGCCAGTTCAGCCTTAATTGTTGAACGGAAATTCGCTTTAATCGTGCCCTGTCAAATGCTTTGCCCACCTAGTAACTCTCTCTATATATAAATACAGTGGTACCTCGGGTTACTTACGCTTTAGGTTACATACACTTCAGGTTACAGACTCCGCTAACCCAGAAATAGTACCTCGGGTTAAGAACTTTGCTTCAGGATGAGAACAGAAATTGTGCTCCGGCAGCGCGGCAGCAGCAGGAGGCCCCATTAGCTAAAGTGGTGCTTCAGGTTAAGAACAGTTTCAGGTTAAGAACGGACCTCCGGAACGAATTAAGTACTTAACCCGAGGTACCACTGTAACTATATATATATAAACACGGGAATACATTTGTTTCAAAGTTATTTATCTCCCACTTCCCTTTCTTCCCCTCTTCCCTTTCCTGTTAAAGGGGTCTTGGTAAGTCAAACAACTTGAGAGAGAGAGAGAGTGGTTAAACGGGTGGAGAATTTCTTAGATGCCCTTTAACACCAGCAAGAGAGACCCAGGAAAGAAGGAAGGAAGGAAGGAAGGAAGGAAGGCAGGAAGGCTCAGAAGATGTAATCTGTAGCCTATTTCTATTCTGTCTCTCTCTTCCTGCATAAAGCGAAGCGTTTCATTGGCACTCGCCTGTCTGCTTAAGAGTCACTTTGACTTGCTCCCAAGGAAGCGTGCACAGAATTGCAGCCTCTACAGATAAACTCTGTTGCTGATCCCCGCTCCACCCCCTCCAGAGCGGCCCTTTATTTCTCCAAGAAAATACTAATAATGATCAACCCCTCTGAACACAAGACAAGACCGAGGAGGAAAAGTATTTTCCCCAGGAGACCCGTTGCTGCTTTAGGTTCCAGTGGAAAGGGCAGACCGCCATTGGCAACTGCTTGCCTGGGTGACCCCAGTCGAAAAGAGCCGCCCCACCGAGACCCACCAGCGACCTCTTTTCTCTAAGACTCTCACAGGAGCTTTAAAGCTTAGCGCTCCTTGGGCGTCAGGGCCAAACGGGCTTAAATCTATGGGGCAGGGCTTGGAGCGTAGCTTTGTTGCTTGGCTAGCAGTATTAACAGCCCGATCCATAGCATAACTTGGAGGAAGCTCCACGTTAAAAATCAGGGGCGCTGACTTTTAACCAGGTTTGCTCAGGAGAGTAGTGATTATATATGCATGTGTGTATGTGTATAGATGGGGAGCGAATGATCACCGAAGCTTTTGAACTTCCAGAGTCCCCTTCTTGTAAACGCTGACCTCTCCAACTGCCCCTGCCGCCAATGAAGCGACAGATGGATTTACATTTTTTGTGACACGTTAAATTCCATCCTCCAAACGTTCCCATTCGCTCTGTTCCTCAGGCTCCAGAGATGATCGTTTTAAGAGGAGTAAGAGCAACAATAAGAACAATATTATAAACGAACAGGAGGGAAACACTCGAGCGCATTCAACTTCAGACTCTCAAAAATGTGCTCGGGGAAAAGATTGCTCACCCAAAGAGAGTAAAATAAATAACTACAGTACATCGACACACTGTGTAAGAAAACTGCTCCTCCGCTGTGGCTTAAAAGTGGGACAAAAACTGAAACATGAATCCCTCCTAGATCAAACTATGCAGTTCATAATTCATTGTAGAATAAATTGAGTTAAAAACAACAACTCCAAAACCGACCTAGATTATTTCCACGGTGGGTTCCAACTGAGTGTGTTTAGGCTGTGAGATTACCTGCTCCAGAGTAATCCCATTAACAACCCTGGGGCTCCTTCGGAATAATCACAGTATGCGAATGGCAAGTCACTGTGTCTGAATACCTCTAGTTCCAGGCGACCAGTTTTATAACCTGCTTAGTTAAAGAACAAAGATGTCCGCCCAACTGCAAAGGTAGCCTTATCTGTAAAAGGGAGAGGTGATATTTGCTCCTGTCTCGGTCTCCTTTGGGGGGAAAGGAGGGAGAGAAATCGAATAAAGGAATCACAATAGTAAATAACAACGTAAGGCCAAGCAGGCAGCGGGGCGGGGGAGCAATAAATAAATATATAATAAATACAGTTTGAATCTGAAAATGATTACTGGTGAACTAAATCAGGTAACGATGCCCCAAGCTCTGTCAGGGACAGCTCTCTCTCTCTGGTGTGATGATTGTACCTGGAAAAAGGCTCAGCTGAAATCAGCAGCATTTTCTTAGAAGAAAATATAGGGGTGTAGAACTACCCGCCATCAAAGGCACACACGTACACAGAGCAGAGGAGAGGAGAGAGAGATGGTTTTGAAGCCTGCTCGCAGTGTTGGGATGAAGCCCGCTTGCTGCTTATATTTTAAGAATTTTAGTGAAAAAAATAAATTGGTACTACAAACACCCTGAGCAGGAAAAGAACACACACACACAAATACACATTCTAGGGCTGTTCATCCGACTGGCTTTCTCCAGATGCAATAAACAAATAACTTTTTAAATGACAATATAACAAAAAACTTATTTTATCTTCGCTTCTCAGAATGTTCGCAAAGATAGCGTACATAATTTTGAATAAACATACCGAGGTCCACAGTTCAATTTGGAAAGTGTATACAGTGTGGTTAATTTGTATAATCTGCCCCAGGTTGTATGCTAATCGTTTGGGAAATTATCAATTGAATCGCAAAAAAAAGGGGGGGGTTAAAACAGAAGAGGTGGTGTATGGATTAATATTTATTTACCAGGCACCATCAGAAACAAATTCATATGAGATTAAAATTATATTTTAACCTTGCAGTCGGTATATTATCCGATGAATTGCATCTATTATTTGATTAAACCTTTCAGTCCTAGGTCATTAGTTAGACTCTAAGGAGGAATATAAGGGGAAGGGAGACAGTGGGTGGCACTATACCCGCATTGACTTTATGGGAGTCGCAGACTCCTGGGAATATAACTGATGGAAATAAAAGGATCCTGCTTTCACCGAGGAAAAAAATCCTTATGTTCAATTCACATTTGAAAGAATATAGGAACAACGGTCTCTGCTCTTGCGCAGGAGAATTTCCCAATAAATGGTGCGCTACGTCTTCAGTGCTCGGGTGCAGTTTTAAACATGTCTAAAGATCCCTCTATATGGAGGATTAAATATGTAGCTCTTATTCTACACATTGTTGTTTTTTTTTACTATTAATATTTTTAAAAACTAAACGTTCACTGCTCAGTTTATGCTGGAAAGGAACAAAACAATTGTCCTTAGGAAATATATCCATAAGAATGCATTAATTATCCTCTCCGCCTCTAAATAAAAAAATTGCCATACTTTAAATAAGTATTTATATCTCAATTTATTTATTGTTTATTTTGGGGTTGTGGGGAGCAAAGTGAAAAACGACTGCAAACGGCTTGCGCTATACCAGCCTGAGCTGTCTGTAATTTTGTAAAACATTCTGAGACTTCTTTTTCTGCAACATTTACACCGCTTGAGCACACATTACCCAGTCGCGGTTATTTCCATTTTACGGATGGAGAACTGAGGCTGAGAAACCGGGACTCTCCCAGAGCCACCCAACGGGTCTCCCCAAGGAGGTGGAACTAAAACCCAGCCCCCCCTTTCCCCCTGATACCACCCAGATCTGGATTTCTAGATTTAGTTGAATTTTTGTTAAATGCTAGAAAAATCCAGCACCTTGCCTGGAGAAAGCCAAGGGCTGTAAGAATATGAAAGAGACGGGGTTGCTTTGGGGTGCTAGGAACGGAAGAGAGGGTGGCAGGCACCCCTTAGATTGCTCCCACGCTCCCCATCCACTTGCATAACCTTCTAAGGAAGAAGCAACCGGTTTTTTGGGGGGGAGGGTGAGGGGACCCGTAATTTCTGATTGGCCGAGGGCACCTCCTGATTGACAGCCGTTCCGGTCCTTTGGGCTCCGCCCCGTCGCCGTCCCTTTATTGACACTAATGAGCAAGTTCTTCCCACCGGTCTCCTGCCTGGAAGTGCTGACAGATCAAGGCAACAAATTTCAATTACAAGCCCTAATTTGTGTCCGCAGAGCGTTTGTTACCCATGTCAGAGCTGTTTGGCCCCTCAGACGAAGCAGAACTTGCAGGAAGAAGAGGAGGAGGAGGGGGAGGAGGGAGAGGAGAAGAAGAAGAAGAAGAGAAGCGCTGCTTTTCCAAAAAGGAATAGATCGGGCTTGGAAAGAAAAGAGGAGGGAGAGGGAGAAGAGGAGGAGGGGGGACACGAACCCCAAACCTCTTTGGGCTGCCTGAAGTCGGATGTAAAAGAGAAGGAGGCGACGCGAAGGCGGACGGCGCGGCCTGGAAGGAGGCGATCAGGCGCCCGGGGAAGAGTGGCGGAGGGCTCCAAGCCCGGCCCGGGCATGGCGGAGAAAAGGCGAGCGTCCCCGTGCGCCATGCTGAGCCTCAAGGCGCACGCCTTCTCGGTGGAAGCCCTCATCGGCGCCGAGAAGCAGCAGCAGCAGGAGCAGCAACAGCCGCCGAAGCGGAGGAAAGTGGCCGGGGAAGAGGCGCCACCGGCGGCTGCCGAAGGGGCGAGCAGCTGCGGGAAGGGCGCCGCCGAAGGCGCGGACACTTTGGCGCCCAGCGCCGAGACGGGGCCGGCCGCGGCCGAGAGGAGCTGCGGGGTCCGGGCTCTGCCTCCCGGTGAGTGAGCGAGGTAGCGCCCCGGCCTGTGTTGTTGCGGGGTGGGGTGTGGGGAATGCCCCTCTCGGGCTCCCCTTCTTTCCGTGAAAGCCCGTCTCCCCAGGCGCCCCGCTTCCGAAGGCTCCCCCCCCCTCGGGGGGCGATCGTACTCTCCTTGTACCCAAACCGAGTGGCCTCTCCGGAGACAGCTGTCATGGCCGAGAGCTTGCCCTCGGTACCCTGCTAAAAACCAGGCGATCTTGACTGTGCCCAAGTGTCCCCCCCCCCTGCAGTTTTCCCAGGTCTGAGTGGGTGGGCGAGTGGGGGTGAAATGCAAGATCAACCCGCTATTGTTAAAGAATACTTCCGATGGCGTGAGAATAACACCCCCCCTCTAACGATCGTTTTCATTATTTAGCATTAATTTTATGCACATTGCAATATCTGTGCGACTCCTCTCCATTCTGAGGAGTCCTATGGGTTTCCTCATCTGGTTGAGTTCAATGGGACTTGATCCCAAAGAAGCGCCCAAAGACATGCGAACACAAGAGTCTTGTGACGCTAAACCAAACGGGTTACAGTACTTGGTTTCAGACAGTGGGCACAAAATCAGGCCTGCGTAAATCTTACTGGTACCGAAAGGAATTATATACATGAGGGGTTTATCTTTAAATTACTAGTTGTGATAGTACTATTATATGTTCTTAACTTTATCAGATAACTGCAGATGGTTTTAACCCTTATTTAGCCTGACATATATGGCTCATCCTATTTTATTTTAGAGCTGAGTTAATATCCATTAATAAATCATTCAGTTTATACAAAATCCAGTCTAGCTGACATATTTTTTATTCTTAATAGGAATGCTCAAGCACACCCACTTATGTCTTAATTGTTCTGTTTAGGTGCCAAACTAATGAACAGATACTTTAATAACATTCTCGGTCTTTTTTCCACACTATTGTTTTCATATCTGCTTCAGCTTTAACTAATTAGAAACACAGAGGTTTTTTAAGTGCACCCAGAGTCAGAAGATGTTGGGTGTCTTTTATTAAATATCAAATAAACATATACGAATAATAATTATACGGAACAATACATTCCATATAATTTGTTTCTAGTCATTCATTTTTATTATTTTGGTGCCTTCCCACAAAAAATGGAACTAAAATGACTAGTATATTATCTTAGGGATTTATTTAGCGAGAAAATGGATTAACATCCTTTATAAAAATAAAGAAACCAGTTCCTTTTATATTTAATCCATTTTATATTTAATCCATTTCAAATCCTTAGGGTTTATTTTCAAGTGTGTTTTGGACTGGAATGCTTGGCTTTCTATTTTAGACTGCAATCCTATGCCCACTTATCTGGGCGTAAATTCTATTGAACTCAGTGGGTCTTGCTGAGTAGCGTCTAGGTTGCACGGGCAACCTGGGTGTAACCCACTGAAATCTTAAGAACGTATCTACAGTACAGTTGAAACGCCGATTTTATTGCTACGATCATGTATACTTTTATAGCATTTGGGCCTGCGCAGTTTTGCACCTCATAATCCCCGAGAACTGTTGCAGAACCTGCCCAAAAGTCCCCCAGCGAAAATGTTGGTTGTTCTGTGAAGAAAAATAGCCGTAGTTTATGAAAACTCGTGCCATCATAAAGATGCTGCAAGACACTAATTCCTTCAGAAAAACCGAGGATCTTAAAACTTCTGCTGCGCGGAGTTGCGCTATTATGGAGGAAAGGATGAACCTCGAACTAGATTGGCAGCTCGATCCTGATTCGGGACTTCCACTGACACGGACGGGCCTTCCTCGAAGCGAAGGCCCTCGACCTCCCAGCAGACGAGCTCGAGGTGGCCAGCTTCCTCCAAGCCGCCCTCGTTGACCCGAACCGGGGCTTCCTTCTGCTCGGAGGAAGGGCCACGTCTTTCGCAAGGACGCGCGTGCCTACTATCGAAACACCCCCCCCCCGACCCCGGCCCCCTTCCGGGGCTCGTCTCCCTGGTGTGGCGGTGAGGGAAACGGGCACTTCTTCCCTTCCCGCCTTCGGCCGGGCCCGGCGGCCTTTCTGCAAGCGAATCCCTTTCCCGGCCCTCTTCCTTGTGCGTTCTGGCCCCGCGCAGAGGCTGCGCCGAAGCGCGCAAAAACGTGGCGCGGGGGAAGGCGCAGGACGCACGTGCCGCTGGGAGAAGGAAGGGGGACCCGGCTTGGGCCTTTCCCGGCTTGGCCCGTGATCCCTAGAAGCGCCGGCCTTTCCCGAGAAGACGCGCAAGGCAGCAATAAGGGTACATTGCGCCCCGCGCCTCTCTAGGTTTGGCGCCTCCGGGCCTCGCGTTTCTTTGCCCGGCGCGCCCTCTAACCCGTCGCCCGCTTTTCCCCTCCTGCAGGTGGCTGCGAGGACAGTTTCCTGAGCGCTACGTCGCCGCCGCTGTCCCCCGGAGGCCCCGCCAAGGCCAAAGGCTCCTCCCGGCCTGCTTCTCCCTTGCTGGCCCCGCCGGTGCCTCGCGTCGACCTGCAGGGCGCCGAGCTCTGGAAGCGCTTTCACGAGATCGGCACCGAGATGATCATCACCAAGGCGGGGAGGTAAGGAACAAAACGCGAAACAACACGAGCAAAGCAAGGCCTCCCGGAGCCAGCCAGGCAGGCAGCCGTAGGAAAGACTGGCCGAAGCACTTTGGAAGGAGCGGCAGGCCCGCAGCGCCCTTAGGCGCCTTTCCCGCTTTCGCCAGCGGCGCTGCGCCACTTGGAGACGGGCCGAGGTTTTGCGTTTCCTCTTCTGGCAGGGATTTGCCTCCCCGCGAAATTTCGTTGCGAATGCCATGCATCCATTTTGCGCCCTCTTGACAGTTCTCTCCCTCACATTCAGCCGGAGGGGGTTGCCTCAAAACAGCACCATTCATTTCTTAATAGCCTTAGTTTATCTGCCTAACAACCCTAAAAGGTGTTTTATTTCCTTCTGTTACTCTAAACCACTCGTGAGCAGGTCTTTGTAAACTGTTGAATTCTGTGTCGTTTGTTTAAGGTTTGGTTATTAGATAGGTCATTCTGCCCCTGACCTAGACATACTGATTTTAAAGTAAGTGGCAATAAGGCTTTGCAAACTAACAGCCTGATCTGGAGTACTTGAAATAAAATCACTTGATTTAAAATTGAATTTTTTACAAGTGATGGGGTCATTTTAGAAGTGAGCCGTCTGCCTCTTAAGAAGTCTGTATTGACTCTGTAGAAATATATGTAAGACATGTGTATAATTACAGTGGTACCTCAGGTTAAGAACTTAATTCGTTCTGGAGGTCCGTTCTTAACCTGAAACTGTTCTTAACCTGAAGCACCACTTTAGCTAATGGGGCCTCCTGCTGCTGCTGTGCCGCCGCTGCAAGATTTTGTTCTCATCCTGAAGCAAAGTTCTTAACCCGAGGTAATATTTCTGGGTTAGCAGGGTCTGTAACCTGAAGCATATGTAACCCGAGGTACCACTGTACAGTGCCTGACATTTTTAGCATGATTAAAATTCTACTAGATGTTTTCTGAGTAGATTATTGCGGAAGATCAAGTCAAATCCATATATACAAGAGAACCCACTGATCTCTCTTGGTTTTTCAATGTGGATGGCTTAAGGTGCTATATGTTGCAGCATGTTGTTTCACAAGATAGCTTTCTCCACCATCTTAATTAAGTACAAAGTCTTTATGCTGCAGAAGCTGGATGTTTAAATTGCCTCTTAATTTCTATAATGCTTAAAGTTGCGAATACAATCCCAAATCTGTCAATATGTCAAAATGAATTAAGCAAATTGATTTATAAAGCTGGATAGGCCACAGTCATTTCAGATGATATAGAAATATGTGGACTTCTAGGTTTCCTGTTCATTATGTTAAAGGGCATGAATGCTAGGTTCTTAAAAGAACTTTTTTTCTTCCCTTTCCAAAGGATACACATGGTAAAAACCTGCACAGTATAAAAGTATCTAAACTTATTAGAAATTACAGAAACATATTTTATTGAATCCATATGTTACCTTCTACATTTTCAGAGAGGCTTTATTAATGATTGAAGTGCAGTCTTAAACAGCACAAGGCAACATTTGTCTTAAAAGTTGTCCTGTCAAAATTTTTCTTTTTTATCTTACAGGTGCACTGAAATAACAGCAAGAACTAGTTAGCAGCAGCTAGTTTTGCCCTCTTTTTTAGTTAGCCATGATGTCAGTAACTCCTTTCCCCCTTCCAAAATCTAACTTTGATTTCATGCATTTCCAACAACATCAGTAATACAAGAAAATAGCATTGCACATTCATTTGTATAGAAAAAAAAATATAACATGCCTTTGTGAAAAATATCCTTCAAAACAGATGAATAGAGACAGGTATCGGGTATATGTTAATTTGAAAATAAAATGTATTTTAAACTTCTACAACCTATAACCACTTCAGCGTTATTCTAGCAAAGCTTCACATGTGCACCTTTGTATTAGTGTAGATTTGATATCAATTCCTGTTCCTAAGAAAACGAACTTTATAATATCTAAAAATGAAGACTTTACATATCTTCTGAATTCATAGAACACATCCCTTGGCTTAAACGATCCCTCTGCAATCCCAGTTGAAATGAATGGGAGCTGTGCTCTTTGATTGTACTTTGTCTATACTAGTATAATAAATCCTATGGCATTGTCATGATTCTATATTTAGACTGTCATTCCATAGAATTCCATTATAGAATTGCTAATTGTTTGATATTGTTAAATAATAAAAAGGCTGCAGTCCCAAGCATATTCATGCGATCCGAAGAGAAACCAGAGTATATTTATTAGAGAGTAAGTTCCTTTGAAGTTAGTGGGGATTTCTTATGAGAAAACAGGTTAGGATTGCACCTCAAGTAACTAATTCACCTTCTAGTGAAATCCTATTCATGTCTACACAGAAGTATGCCCTGTTGAGTTTAATGGGATTTACTCCCAGTTAAGTTTGTATAGGACTGCAACCTTAGACTTAAATTGTAGCCCAATCCTGATTGCATTTCTGCAGAAGTAAATCCCATTCGTTTGAATGGGTCTTGTTTCTAATGTCATCTTAAGCATATAAGGAAAGTCCTGCTGGATCAGACCATAGACCATTTAGTCCAGCATTCTGTTTTCCCGCTGCGCAACTAGATGCCATTGGGAAGCCCCTGAGCAGGCAGTGATCACAACGACACTCTCCCTGGTTCATGGTTAATACTCTCTTAAAAATATTTTTAATGTGATCTAGGTAATCAGTACAAGCCTGCACTGGAAATAAGAAACAAGCATCACCCCTGTGGCTGCTGCTCATGATTTCAATGCACAGTTGTGTACATGGGGAAGATGCTCATTGCATACAAAGCCAGTGCTGGATGCAATGATCTATTTGGCCTGTGGCTTAGAAAATACTTCAATTTGCTTAGAATCCAAACTGCAATCTCTGAAAAATCTGTTCTTTTGTGAATTACAGTTCCAAATTAAGCACATGCTTTCTTAGAATTACCTTTTTTTTTAAAAAAAAAAAAACCCTGCTAAAAGAAAATCTCCATTAAAAAATGCTTAACAATTGCATCTGAATGATTTGGCAGTTTGCTCTTTGAAGAAATTTCAGGGGGGAAACACAAGTTTTTGTTCAGCAAAAAAGATTAAAATCCATGGAGGCATGTGCCATAAGTCTATTTTGTGAATGAGTATAATTATTTAAAAAGAGAAGCTTCCCACAAATAACTTTAAATGAAAAAGAGTTGGAGGTAGATTCCACAAACATGTTGCTGTTTCTGTCTTCCATGTCTGTTTTTTATTAAATGCTCTTCTTTTTCTGTGTTCAGACGGATGTTTCCTGCAATGAGAGTGAAAATTTCAGGCCTAGACCCTCATCAGCAATACTATATTGCCATGGACATTGTCCCTGTGGATAACAAAAGATACAGGTAATTGCAGTATATAAACCTTTGGGATATCAGGAACTGCAAAAGAATATTGCTAGTTTGGAAATTAACAGAAGGTTGTGCTTAACTCCCAAATTCCTATCTTCATCTCACTGCATGAAAAATAAGTGCCTTGTGCCAAGCACGTGAGAACAATCAAGGCTTGTTTTATTGAACTGCTTTGTACATTGGCTCATATTTTGAACACATTCTACATTATCCGAATCGTATCCCCCCCCCCAATCACAAGCTGCTGTTCTTGAGCCCCCTTACTTGGGAATATTTATTGAAGCTGGGAAGACTGGGGTGGATTGTCCATAACCTGTATAAACCACTATTCTAACCCAGTTCGAGTATAATTGCAGAATAGCACTTTTGGTGGCTTTCTTTGTTTAGTTATTTAACAGCATTTCTGTCTGTGCAGCTATTTGCAATAATTGGCTAGTAGCTATCAGTAATCACTCCTTAAATGCTTTAACATAAGGTCTTGATCATGTAGACCTCGACCAAGGCAATGCACATCTAAGTAATCATTTCCCTCTAGAACTCCTGGCATGAATTTGTAGGAATGGGAACACAGTGACTTCTTTTAGCAATTTAAGAGATGACAGATCTGCATCCCAAGTATATTTGCTGTTGCATTAAAGAAGGGTTGCCCAAATGGTTCTCCGTGTTCTTGTCTATTAGCACTTTTAATGATACCATCATTAGAACAGTTTTTTTTTTAATTCTTTCGTTAAGAAGCCCAAGTTATCAAACTTAAGGAAGATAGCTTCCTTATGCTTAACTTTCCTACTCCCAGTCCTCTCAGTCTTGTTGTATAAATAGGTTCAATCATGCCTTGTATATGGTCTGAAGTTTTTGCTCCTTTTTTAAACCAGTCATCTTACTGTACAGTACGTATTATGTGCCGTTATTATTTCTGTTTTACGTTTGACAAGTTTCTCAGCAAATTGACATTTCAAAAGTGAGGGCAAACCTGCAGTTCCGTTACAGATTGAATGATATTAAGGAACGGAGAATGATTTTTGGTCCAGGCTCTGATATGGAAATGGAATTTTGTATAAGCAAAGCCTGTGTCCATTTTTTTTTCTGGCAAAGAATGTTGTGTACGCTCATACCTCATGGGTTTATGGAGCATTTACCACAAGTGTTGTAAAAACTGGGATGATTTCTTTTGTTGTTGATGACTTTCTTATCTGCCCTTCAACACAAATGACCTATGGCAATTTTAAAAAGTAACATTAAAACAGTTTGAAGCAAATTACTGTTATAAGAATAGGGTAGGTACTGAAAATATCTCAGGTGTCATAGGCCAAGATGAAGAAGTGTGTCTTGAGCATGTGACAGATGCAAAATGAAGGTGCTATGTGAACCTTTGGATTGACACAGAGCTCTGTATATTCATTGGAGAGTGCTACCATTTTTTGCTTGTAGCCATTTCATGAAAGTACCCATGAGACATGCTTCCAACATAATTTACTCATGGTTGTAATACCAGGCTGTGACTACAGCATTAATTGGGGGTGGGGGTGGGAATCTATGCAGCTCTCTGATACTTTCTTAATATATGGAATAGTGCTGCTTTCAGATGGCCTGGTTCACTTCTATGTTTTGACAGAATATCTGGATTTAAATGGTTAATTTAACTGTGTCAGAATGATTAGGATCATTATGGTTTTACTTTATTTTAACTAGCTTGTGCCTTGCACTAGCAGGAGCATGGCATAATTACGCTTGCTTTGTGGGATAGTTGAATTTGTTTGCCCTTGCCACATTATTATTAAATTTCCATCAAATATGTGTCCCTGTATATAAAAGGAAAACACTGGATACACTGTTTAGCGAGTCTTAAAATTGTATAACTGGCTGGATTGTAGTCTGTAATCTTTCCTTTGGCTCAACATAAATTAGACTGTTTTTTAAAGGTCAGTGTCTTGGGTCTGAATTGGAGTCAGATAACATTTGATGAGTTAGTCTAAGCGTACAAACCTAAATAAGGATTTCTTCAGAGGAGATCCCATTGAACTTGATAAGTATTCATGAATGCTCATACATTTGACATATTTTTTGCAATGGCATATCTCTAAAGTTAGCAACAACATATTCAAGATTGAAATTAGTAATGAAATTAAATCACCAGTAGATTGGTTTGACTGAATTTTTTGTCCGCGATTCACACACGCAGATGATTTTGTTGTACATTTCAGTCTTTCTATATGTCAGACGGCATACTTATTTCCTCCCCCCCTTTCCTCTTGAACTGAGGTAGAAAGCTTTTCATATAATGGATTTATTTAAAATTAAAATGACTAATATTATTTTAAATGGCTTAAATGGGACCAGTGCTTTGTAGATTGTGTCCCTAGGATCAGATTCCGAGTTCTTGTGAGCAGAACATGGGACATTTCCTCTGTCTGTGGTGTGGGTGGGTGAGACAGATAGGTGTTTTTCACTGATTTCTCCCCCTTTCCTGCTATCCCTTCACCTCCTGAACATCTGCTCTGTGGGGTAGGGGGCCATCTGGAATAGGTAGTGGTGGTGCTGGATCTGCAAAGGGAAGGGAAATTGATGAATCAGCCAGCAGGAGTGCTTGCTAGGACTACAACCTTTCAGCAAACGGTATGAGCCTTTCCATTTGAAGAAGGGACACTTGGAATTCAAGCTAATGATCCCAGTTCTGCTTCTCTTGATGTCAAGGCCATTATTCAACTATAAACAGTTTAAAATAAATTTCTGATATTTAATAATTCATTATTGAAGCCCAGTTAATGTTTAATGCTGTTGTAAATGTAAGAAATGAAAGGACCATAGTACAGTATAGTTTGCAAATAGAAAAATGACAGTGATTTTAAAAAAAGTTTCTGTAATAAAATAGATTAGGTTATGACCGCATCACTGCACTAGATCTCCCCATTCCAGTAATTGTGAGGCTCCAGTGCCCGGTTCTAGTGCCCTGAAGTGTTTTAATATTCACTGCAGCCCAGCACATAATTCCAGCCTACTTGCAAGAGTTCTGTGTTTGCAGTTGCATATAGATGGGCCTTTGGCTTGTGTATAGGTGTAAGAAGGCATCGATTTCCATTCCGACCTGTGTTTGCTGGGGGCAGTGCTGTTTCCAGTCTGCTGCAGTTCGGCTTCTGACAAACGCTTCATTATTCGTCTTGCTTTCTTCTGTCGTAGAATTTTACGTAGATAATTATGCAATTAATTTCATAATTGTGTTATGTTTACATTACTCTGCACCATTCATTTCAATGCAAATGAAACACAGTGCAAATGAGATGAGGGGAGTTATCAATTACGTATTATTTTCAGACTGAAAACAGGAGCGACAGTGAATACTGATAATTATTGCTGGATTGATTTTTGTTTCAGTCATGGGATGAATAAGTGAGCACTGCCAAGTTCTCCCATTTCTGTCGGAATTCTCCGACATCCTTAGATTTTTAAAATACTTTTATAAGACAAAATGTCCATTTTGTCTTGATTGTGTCAGCTGTGATTACTTGTGCCACATTACAATTAAACAATTATATTTTCAGTGTGAGAGCAAATAGCACTTATGATGCTTACTCCCTTTTAGAACTAAATGTCCTAAAATTAAAATGCACATGAAGACGTTAAGGCTGTTTTAGAATGCTATAAAAAGTTTCACCTTACAGAGGTTTTTTATAACGGCTGAAAATACATTCATAAATATATTCATTGGCTCAGTTTTCAATAAATTATTTTAAATGGATTGACCTATAAGTGAAAATATTATTCTGGTTATAAGATAAAGCTCAGAATTATTGTAATTTTGTGGCCTTTAAAAGAGATCTTCGTAGAATTTTGTTTTCAGTTGAAACAATCCATTTGTAATGTTAAATATTAGGCTACAACTTTTCCTGAATTCCTCCTGATATTTAGCTAATTTGTGCAACCCCCAGTTGAAGATTTTCGACAGCTAGTTTAATTTGGGGAAAAGGGCTAAATAAAACAAAAATAGTCGGTACCAAACTGTTTTTCTCCTTTATAAATAAATACTGCTGCCTAGAAGTGAGTTGCTCTTTCTTCTTCCCTCGTCTGCTTTTCCTCCCTCCTCTTGCTTCTCCAGAACGATTAAGCAATGCCACCACATTATTTCCATTCTGTATCTCATGCACATTGGGTTTCTTTCTATAGGTATGTTTATCACAGCTCCAAATGGATGGTAGCTGGGAACGCTGATTCGCCGGTTCCTCCCCGTGTGTACATCCACCCAGATTCACCCGCCTCAGGAGAGACTTGGATGAGGCAGGTGATTAGCTTTGACAAACTGAAACTTACAAATAATGAACTGGATGACCAGGGACATGTGAGTATATTATTTTCTACAATGTGCATTTAATCATCAATTGTACAGTATTTTTTTTTTTAAAAAAGCACAATTCTTTTTGACCTGCACTCTCACATTAGCAAAAACTGATTGATTTTGTGAAGCTTAGGGCAGGTTAGATACAGACATGTTTCCCTTCCCCGCTACAACAATTCATCAGTAACTGTGTGCCATTTCCCCTTGTGGAATAATTTGGACTGTTGGAGAAGCAGAACTGAGCTTCCTAAGTAAGGGCTCATCTGTACTTCTGCGTTTCCAGCTGCCTTTCCCTTGGGGAAAACTGCTCTTTAGCGCTCAATCAGAACAAATGAAATTGGGTTTTCAGCGGATTTCTGTTCATTCTGATTTAAAGCTAAAGAGCGGGTTTTCCCTGGGAAAGGAACAGGGCAAGGGGGAAACTGCTTGGATTCTTGCCTAGAAAACCGCTTGGATCTGTGCTTCCTACAAGCAGAAGTATGGATAGGCCCTAAATTAACTTAACTGAAAGTGCAGATCTACCTGAACACATTGGCATTGTATTCATAGTCTTCAGATCCCCCTCTGTAAGGTGAAACAATATGTCTGTACCTAATGTGAACATCTTCAGTATTTAGCAGCCTTAACTGGGCAAAATAAAATTCAATTAATGATTTTTTAGAAATAAAATCATTTGTGTGAAAGCCTCGTGAGGTGTTAATAACAGTATTTAAAAGGAGCAACACGAGAGCTACGTTCCCTCTGATAGTGATTTATTACCTACCTTATGGAGCAAGACCTTTTCACAGCTGAAGCTCATTACTTCTGCAACACTGGCAGGGAATTGTGCAGTTGTGTTCTGTTTGCAAGCTCCAGATTGTTTAGCTATGACAACACCTCACATGACAAAATACACTATGGTAATATTTCATTTTCTCTTCAATGCTTATGAGATGGAAGATAGACAGGCGAACTAATACCTTTCAGTTAATCCTTAAAATATCCACGTTTCCTGCCTTGGTAAAAAATTATATGAAATGGTTTTGAGACGGGACTCTTTGAGCATTTTGAAAATTCATTAATAAAGGAATACATTAACCTCTTTTAAAGAGAACACTGCGGTGGATTTCTAAAAACTGAGGGATGTGATGGCCATCCTAATATTCTTACAGACATGACCACACTCTTGTGAGAACTCTTCCCTCTTGGGCACATGAGGGAAGGATTTGCATGCTATGATTTCTTCAAGGCCACCTCTAACTGTTTTGTAGCCCTGATCCATACTGAATACTCTAAGCACTTTTAGAGTCTGTAATTTTGTTTAATGAAGTTATGAATGAATCTGCTACTTCTTTTTCCACGAGCAAGTTGTTAGCTAAATTGTTGGGAATTACTTGTAAAAAATCAGCTTTTTTTTGAGTTCTAAGGAAGGATGAAATTACAAGGTAAATGGTCAGTTGTTTTAGAATGTCTGGGAATACAGCGGTGCTGACTTTAGTTCAGTCAAGGCTGTATGGAATTTTGATGCACATACCCTTGTTTTGCACTTTGCCTGAGTCTCTCCCCCCCCCCCCCGGCATTCCATGAGTAACAGTTCAGAGATAGGAGTTGAAAATTGGAATGCCTGGCCAATTGTTTTTTAAACGTCAATATGATGTTTTAGAAAATAAACGAAGCATCCCATAATACATTTTTGTAAGCCAGCTGAAAGCTAATTTTAACTTTTTGTCTCTGTAACTTTGAGCACTAGTTTGTCCCTAGGTTGCTGGGGTTTGATGCTGCAATCATCAGGTGAATTAGATGGAAGAGGAATATTTATTTATTTTAAAATTATATATATCCTGTTCTTCCTCACTAAGGAGATCGGAACAGTGTACAGTAAAAACAGTAAAATATAACAGGCAATATATACCCAGCGGACTATTTCAGTTTCAGTTCAGCGAGCCAAAATACCTGAGAGAGCTTATTAAAAAGAGAGGCTTTAATTTCTCTCCTGAATATAATCAGCAAGGATCGGAATGGATTTCCTTGGGGTGGGGTGAGAGTGTTTCAGAAGTGAGGTTTGCTTTTTTCTGCATGGTCACCTTATGAATACCTGTAGGGACAGGAACTGTCTGGAATGCTTTACTTCTAGGTCAGAATTATATGGAGAAAGACATTCAGACAAACTGGTTTCCCGCCACTTAGAGCTTTTTAGAACTCACACTTCAAATCGTGTCCAGAAATTAATAGGAAGCCAAGGCAGTTAGTACAAAAGTGGTGCTTGGAGTGGGGGAAACATGAACCCTATATTTCACCCCCATATCAAGTCTGGCTGTTGCATTCTGAACGAGTTCACATTTCTTAACTGCGTTCAAAGGCAGAGCACCATGTAGAAATCAAGATATGAGAGGTGACTAATACACAGATCACCATAGCAAGTTTGAAAAGAGATGCAGCTGGCATGCCAATCTTAATTCTGCAAAGGTGCTTCTGACTGAAGCCTGACAACCCAGGTCCAAAGCTGGGTCCAAACACATTCTGAAGCTGCAAGGCTGTGTTATCAGAGGGAGTGTAGCCTCTTTTATGGCACCAGTTGGACACTGAAACTGATACCTTTTGTACTGAAGAACCTCTGTTTTGCCCAGATTTAGCTTTAGTTTATTAGTCCTCATCCTGCCCATAACTGACATCTGAGCTAGCACTGGTCTAGAACATCTACAACCTCATTGGTATCATTAGAAAGAGAGATGTAAAGCTGAGCAATAGATACAGGTGAATGTACTCTATTTCAGGAGCACTGTTGCATACCTACGGCTACTATGAATAGGAGTACAGTGGTATCTCAGGTTACAGACGCTTCAGGTTACAGATTCCGCTAACCCAGAAATAGTACCTTGGGTTAAGAACTTTACTTCAGGATGAGAACAGAAATCGTGCTCTGGCGGCGCGGCAGCAGCAGGAGGCCCCATTAGCTAAAGTGGTGCTTCAGGTTAAGTACAGTTTCAGGTTAAGTACGGACCTCCGGAACGAATTAAGTACTTAACCTGTGGTACCACTGTAATAGGATTGGATATTAAATAATAAGGCCACTTGTAAAGAAAGAAAGTAGGGTATAGGGTGCAATATATCAGGCCCCATCATTTTAAATAACCTCTAAGAGCCAAACATGGGAGACTCCTAAAATTGAGTTTTATTCAGCAAAGGTTCTGGAGTCTGTAGCTGACCATGCATGAATTGATTGCTTATAATCATTATTTTCATTGGACGCAGCAGGTAGACAAACCTCTGTGAGTTAGATAATGGTAGTCTACAAACAAAGTCTCAGGATGGAAAGAGCAAGTTTCCATATTGTGTGATAATGAGGTTTAACTTCTTTCCCCTCCGAATTGAAAACTCTATCGTGGTTGGAATTATTTGAGCACTCCACTTTAATGAGTACTTCAGCTTGGAGGAAAGTCAAGTAGCTTTTTCCTAGAGTATTTCAAAATACACATTGAACTGATTCAGTCCCGAAATGTGCCTTGAAAATTAAAATATAGGTTTTGGAGACAAAAGATTTTATAAGAAATTCATCTTTCTAAAATTGGAAAGTTTGCAAAGAATGTCATTTATTGTTACCAGAAAATGCAGAAATATAAACCAGAGAACTGGCTGTTCCAGCGTGTATACTTTCATTCTTTTGCTTTACAGCAGAATGAAAAATTGTTTTGAGATGGCTGAAAGATTGCCCATGTAGAAACACACAGGGGAAAATTTTTCTTCTATAAATGCAGGGAGGAAAGTCGGAGGTAGAGTTATACAAGCTGGTATTCAGAACTGTTATACTCTTGCAAAATAAATTACTGAAACATTCTTAGCACAGTGCTTATTCCCAGTTGAACCAATGATGAGTAAGGATGCATAAATATTTTGTGGATGGCACCCTGCTTGCTCACATTTGGATGAGACAAAGAATATCGCCATACTTACCTTACTCATTACTACAGTTGCTCCTTTCCCTAATTTAGTACAGAACCAGAGATGCAGAATACAGATAATTTAGTCTTTTTGATACAAAAGGTGCCTCCAGTTTTCATTATTATTTTTTCTTCCTGCTTTTTTTTTAAAAGGCAGATCTGTGGCACAAACAGTCCCTCAAATAAGTAATCAATTTGTTAAGTATTAGTCTTCTCTGTATTGTTCTTTGAACCAGACATAGCGTAGGAACATGTATGCCTGAGTGGTGGGCGTGCCCAACTTACAGGAATTCTGAACTGGTTTTTAGGGGAATACAATTAATAGTGAATAAAAAAAATTCAAAATAATGCAGCAGTTAGCCCTTCTTAATATAGTCACTGATGAAAATAAAGCTCTGCAAAACAAAGATTTAGTTTGTCTTCACAGCAGTTAATAGGCAACAATGCTAGCACGGACTCTGAACAATTTAGAGGGGCTTAGCAAAGAAAAGTAGTATACTCTAATCTGGCCTTATTTGAAAAATTGACAGAAAAGCGCTGACTAGCAACCACTCAAAACAAACACATAGATATCTGTTTGGTATAACTTTATTGCTTACACAAATCAACAGCAAGTTGCCTGAAGAAGCCCACCGATTATATACGTCCGTCCACTTACAGATGATATAGCAGCATCACGGAACACAGGGAAGATGAGGTTATTTTGCAAAAGGGAAATAGGGAAAGTTAAAATTTAGATTTAAGACTTTAAATTCAACATTTGAAGGTCACAGATGCTCTAATACAGGCACCCCAAACTTGGCCCTCCAGCTGTTTTGGGACTACAACTCCCACCATCCCTAGCTAACAGGACCAGTGGTCAGGGATGATGGTAATTGTAGTCCTAAAACATCTGGAGAGCCGAGTTTGGGGATGCCTGCTCTAATATTAAACTCCACTATGTATTGGTCCCATATTTTCACAAGCATTACACACTCTTAAGACTGTTACTTAGGTATTATTTTCTGTTGCTGACTACCTGTTGTGTGTTTTCTTGTTATTTAAAACCAAGGGCAGAATGGGAAGCTTGTATGCCTATATTTTATTTACAGATTTGGAATTTAGGTGGAGGGTTGGTTGCTATATTTGTTAGTTTTCTTTTTCTTTTTAAGACAGTTTTATGGATAAGATAATAAATAAAAACAGGGAATTATGTTAACTTTATTGATACTATCTCTGTACGTATAGTATGTATACTTTATCATGTCGTTTAATAAAAGAAAGTTTGAGAACTGCAAAAGAAAACATTTTTATATATTGTATCTGCACTTGTTCCAAGAATTTCAACAGTATTCTAAAATAGCCTCTTTTTGTCATGCTTATGAAATTACAGCTAGGAAGCATGAAAGCATCACTAAATAGAACACAAAAAATCCTGCCAACATACTTGCATTTTTAAAATCTTGCAATATCTTAAGTCTGTGATCCAGCACAAAACTAGTCAGGCTAAGCTTACTAATCTGTTGCCTCAGCTTTTAAGTGGCTAAAAATATAAACTGACAACATTTGATGATAGCAACACCTGTTGGTTGTCATTGACTCCAGCTGGTTGGATATATAGGTGAATGTTCCAGGTGCAACTGGGGTTCTAAATGTGGATTAACTGTTAATGATCCATCAGGTTTTTCATGTGCGGAGGCTACAACATGGGGGTGAAATTATGGCCAGGATCAAAAGATTACCGTAACTCCTGCATGGGAAAGCTGGCAACTGTAACTGGAGTTAACTGTTTTCTATTTCAAGACATAAACAGAGATCCCCTTCTATATATCTTGCACAAGACATACCCACAATTTAGCTGAAGCAGAGCGATGAGAGCAGTATTTTTCTGCATGTAATCCTCTCGATCTTGACCACAAATTATAGAGCTGTAAAGTGCAATTTTGACCATCTACTGTTGCAAAGCTAAATGTTTGTGGGTGATGGATATTTTGGGTACGTTTTGCAGAATATTTATAGTAATCTGTAACCACACCACTGGATTGGCTAGGTTTTAGCTGATTCGGGTTACAATCCTGTTCTCATTCATCTTGGAGTAAAACTTGGTGAACTCAATGTAGCTTACTTCTGAGTGGGAACATACAGATTTGCACTAGCAGCCCCACTGATTTCAAAGCTCTCTTTACAGTAAGGGTGCATCTCTATGCTACAAGACAGGAACACTGGAATGAGAAGTAGAAGAGGGAACACAAAGATTCACAATATATTTCTCTCTTGTCTTTGTTGCTAATCCAAAATTATCGTGTGTGTGTGTGTGTGCATGTGCCTGTGTGCAAATTTCTGTGTACTCAAATCTGAAGTTTACTAAAGATTGCCTGTCTGTAAAACTGTAGGTGTGGGGGACTGGTTCTTGATGCTATGAAAGTGATGGTGAAATCTAGCTTTACAGGTGCTTTACAGACACTTTAAAAATGTTGTATGCTTTAATAGAAGCTCTTTGTAATTTTGGATTTGGAATCCATCAGGCCACGCACAGCTGATTTTCTAATCTTGCATTATATCATTTATATCATGTATCAGTGTAAGAAAAAATTCAGTGTGTTTTACAGCACAACGCTATGCTTAGACACTGCGTTCGGTAAGGATTATTTCCACGTAAACGTGTATAGAGTTGCAACCTCAGTCAGGGAATTCATCTCCCATTGCTGAATTTCATAGTGAAGATAAAAGCTATCTGCTCTCCACTTCCCTGAGCAGTGAGAAATTCCAGAGATGCAACGTTTTCCTAGGTTTGGCGTTGTTTCAAAATAATTTGCTATACGTTTTTTAGTATTTGAGTTCATTTGCAAATATGCATGGGTGAGTGGTGGTGGTGGAGGATGGTGTGCTGCCACCAGCCATGGGACCTTTCTTTGGTCAGTCATGTTGTTGCTGCTTCCCAGGAGAGGGAGGGACAACACATTGGGGAGGTTGGCATGGTGCTAACACACTGGCCAAGTCAGTTTGGCACTCCTGCCAGTCCATTTGCACCGTAACAACCTCCCTGCTGCCTTGCCCTTCCATCTCCTGGCAAGCAGCAGTGATACGACCAGCGAGAGGTCAGGTGAGTGGCAGTGATGCACCACACTGTCCTTTATTGTAGGTGAGGTAGAAAGCAACAGTGCCCCACTGCCCCATAGAATCTATCCAGAGAGAGACAGCTCCCGAAGCAGTGGTACCTCGGTTTACGAACTTAATCCGTTCCAGAAGTCTTAAACTGAAACCATTCTTAAACCGAGGCGCACTTTCCCTAATGAGGCCTCCCGCCGCCGGTGCCCTTCCACCATTCGGCTTCCGTTCTCAGACCGAGGTAAAGTTTGCAAGCTGGGACACTACTTCCGGTTTTGCGGAGTTCATAAACCGAATAGTTTGTAAACAGGGCTGTTCTTAAACCAAGGTACCACTGTATTCATTCATCTCTCACTCAGAAAACTGCAGCCTGCTTCTCTCCATCTCATGTTTCCTTCTGTCTCCCCACTACATACACTTACTTAGATGATATCATCCTTTGGGGGAAAGGGATGGGATATATATATATATATCCCCTGCCCCTTCTAGTTTTTTTCTTATTCAAAAAATGCCAAAGAGGCCCTGTGTCGACAAGCAGTCTGATCCGTGTTCATCCATGAAGGTCATTGGGTGACGTTGGGCTGGTCACTGCCTCTCAGCCCAACCTACCTCACAAGGTCATTGTGGGGGTTAAATGAGGAGGGGGAGAACCGTCTAGGCCACCTTGAGCTTCTTGGGGGGGGGGGGCAAAAGTGGGGTATAAATGATAATAATTATAAGAATAATAATATGCATGGTGTGAATGTGACTATAAACAAAAAGGCACGCTGGGTCGAAGCCAATGTGTTCAGGACTGCAGCATAATTTCTTACTTTTCAGGGTCCTTTAACAAAGCATAACGTAAAGATCAGATCCTTTCTCAAAATGTAATATTTAACCCAGCAGAAAGCTTTCTTGTATCTTGCTCTGCATTAGGTGCAGAAGTCGAGAGATTTTACCTAAGCATGCTTTTTGGTTTTCTTCTGATGTAATAGTCTGACTTCAGTCTAGTGAAAGTTCAAGTATCCAGAAAGTTGCTTATCCAAAACAGTGTCATGTTCCCCAGTGAGGAATTAATTCATATAAAAGCATCTCAGATAGACAATACCTCTTTTTTTTTCAGATGGAAAAGGCTTTCTTTTATTTGGGTAATTAGGTTTCATGGTATTTGGCGTTCAGTGTGATGCCAAAAAAGGAGGGCAGCGTGAAGGATGACATGCGCTGCTGAATTTAGTATTCTGTGGCTAATAACGAAACAGGAAATTAAAAAATTCCCTCCTTTTTAATTAGATTTTCTATTGCCTGGTGCCCATGGAACTGTTTATATATAATCTCCCCATGGGCTTCCAAAAGTAATAGTTAATGTTTTTGATTCTGAACTATTCACAGTCAATTCATATGCAACATAGAATGAACGCAAAGCTTTCTCCAAGTGAGTTTGAAAATCATGATTCATGCAGCATTATGAAAATATTTAGGCATTTGCTTCATTGCATGTGACTCGTTTTGAATTGGAGAAGGAAAGAACGGAAGTTGCTAATTCAGGAACGAGAGAGGAGACCTCACAGATTCACTGGAAATGTTTTATTTAGTCCAAAGCATTTCCAGTTTTAATTATTTCTTTCAGGACTCTGGTTAACCAAAACTGTCTTCTATACAGTGTCAGTGCAAACATTTCTGATCCTCTTTGAAATCTTCTCTTGCTCTTTCTACTTCCAGTTTTAAACAAGGTAACTAAGCATTTTTGGGGCCATTTAGCTAGCTTTTGTTCTGTTCAGCCTTAGTGATTATCACCATATGCCTACATGTAGACGAACCCAAATATACAAATGAACAATGGTTGTTCTTCATTCTCTGGGTGGAATCCAGTGTTCCTTCTACTTACACGATAGGATGCCACCTTCCTCTCATTTCCTCCGTCAGCTCCCTTGTCCTGCATAATCTGCTTAAGAGAGTCCCCCAACCCTTTGGAGCAGAATTTGAGGGTGTTCAAAGGGTTTCTGGGAAGGAGGAGAGGACAATCAGGCCTGTTGCACAAGTGGAAGTTCTTTCTGCTTGCTCTCTAGAATGAGGTATGTCTTAAGTGCAATCCTATAGTGCAGCTGAACTTGGTGGGGAGCTTTAGGATTTGGCAAAGCCCCACTCCACCAGCAAAGCACCAGTTACATCACTTGCCAGGATACCTTACACTGCCCTAGCCTATCAGGTGAACTTGGGTGGTGCGGATTGGTCCTGTGGGTTCCTAGGGAGAAACTACTTGGGTCCTGAGGTGACTGTGGTCAACAGCATTGTGTTTCCCTTTTCTTTTTCTTTTGGTTTATTGTGTTTAGCAAGCAGCCATTACACACATAAAATAATAATAATAATAACAACAGGAATACTGCTACTAATCACAGTTGACATTTCTACTCCCCGACCCCTAGTGGATAAATCATTTCCCGTTCCCCCCTCAAGTTTTATTAAGACTTTACAGATTTGTGTAACAAGAAATTTAGATGTTCTAAAGCAGGGGTAGGCAACCTAATTGCCTTCTCAATCCGGCCCGTGGACAGTCCGGGAATCAGCATGTATTTTTCATGAGTAGAATGTGTCCTTTTATTTAAAATGCATCTCTGGGTTATTTGTGGGGCCTTCCTGGTGTTTTTACATGAGTGGGGCATAGGAATTCGTTCATCCCCCCCCCCCAAAAATATAGTCTGGCCCACCATATGGTCTGAGGGACGGTGGACTGGCCCATGGCTGAAAAAGGTTGCTGACCCCTGTTCTAAAGGGTATATCTCTCTCAACATCGGACAGCAAAAAGAGAGAGAGGGAGAGGGAGAGAACCTTCCCTTCTGCGATCTTAGCATGGGTGGATATAATTCTTTCTGAAATCGTCATAGAAAGGGCACTCAAGGAGTATATGAGTTATGTCTTCTACTGATATAGAGTTGCAGCCACAACTCTATCCTTCATAGGAACTCCTTTATGTTGGCCTGTCCAATCTGTTAATGAAAGGACGTTTAGTCTTGCCTGTGTAAAGGCTATCCTCATTTTAGCATTTGGTAAATCTACCAGATATCTTGGCAGGGATAATGTGATAAAAGGAGGATACAATTTATTAGATTGACAGATGTTGGTCTCGGCCACTTGTGATTGCATCTTGGTGTCTCTCAGCCTATGCAGTATTCATTCTTTAGCTCTCCCAAAACCCTGCATCACAAGAAAGGGGCAGAGAGTTCTGAGCTGATGGCAAGCTTTGTGTTGGGGAACTTGAACCTTTTTCCTGTAGGGAAAGCTGGGCACTTGCTTCTATGCTGTGGTGGTTTGGGGGCCATGCCCCCAGATCAGTCGTGGTGGGTTGGCTTTGTTCCTTTCATTTCTGTGCAGTTGGCGGGTGTTATCTCTGCCCCATCCTGGGAACTGGCAGCCATTGGTGGAGTTGCCAAGGGCACCGGGGTGTGACTGGCATTTTTGAGGCCTTTAAAATGTTTCTATCATGTTTCCCATTCCCCTCCTGGGCTGAGCTCATATTGGATACAGCAGCTGTTGGGCCTACATAGTGATGGTGTATCCCCATCGCCCTTTGCTAGTTGGTATAATTGCAGTATAGGATTGCTCTGTCCATGGCCAGTGTTTGGCTGTCCTTCTGTAAATATATCCATGCTACATATTTCAATAATAACAGTAGTAAGGATTTAAATAAAAGAATTAAAATATTGTGTACAGTACATGCAATACATGAAAAACAAAACGTAACCAATATTCTTTGTAACTATTTATATGTTGGGCGTATTCAGCGGTTGAGTTTTCATATTTCTTCATGATTCAAGAAACAGAAAGTTCCAGAGTACTTTTTAAAGGCTTTGGACAGATCTGGAGGGACTCCATCTGCAATCTGGCCACATAGGTTCCCCTTTAGCCTCTGGTAACATGGTTACAAAACTAACTCTCATGGGCACTTTGTTGAACTGAAGCCAGGCTAATTTTGAGGTTGCTTATTTATTTCTTTAAAGCATTTTTCCCTTGCTCTTTTGCCGAAAAAGGCTCCAAGAGTAGCTGACGAATATCAGGTATAAGACCAGTTTTGAGATGTGCCACATTGCCTTTAGTTAGTCCTCAGAACAAAACAGGAAGTGTTTAAAATACTGGCATAGAAGAAACAGGGAGTCTTTTCTTGCAAACCCCATTCTTTCTCTCTTTCTTTTTGATGTAGATTATCCTCCATTCTATGCACAAATATCAGCCACGTGTCCATGTCATTCGGAAGGACTGTGGGGATGACCTCTCCCCAGTCAAACCCATTCCTTCGGGAGAAGGAGTGAAGGCATTCTCCTTTCCTGAAACTGTTTTCACAACTGTCACGGCATACCAGAACCAACAGGTAACTTTTGCTCTCCTTCCTTTTTAATGCTCCTGATTTACTGGATTTTCATTTAATTACAAGCAAATGGCTGGGGAAGAAGGAACCTCTGTCTTGACACTAGGTGAGAAAGAAAACCATCTAATGTCTATTAAGCTAGTAGGTCCCAAACAATTTCCCCCTCACAGACCACTTCAGAATTACTGATGTTCTTGGCAGATCACTTGATGATTTTTTCTGCCTGTTGTAGCAATTATAACATGCCGTACTAGGCATGGTATTATTTTAATTTTTTTTTTTTTTTTGCTGCTTCTTTTATTTCTTATATTGCATTTCATTGTATTACAATTAGCATTTCATAGAATGCAAATTGTAATGTAAAAATATATTATAAAAATACAAGAGTCAATACAAATACGATTAAATAATAACATGAGTATTTAATGCAGACACGCCATGGACCGTTGGTGGTCCTATGGGCCACACTGTGGGAATCCCTGTTTCAAATTATTTAATGGAATCTTAGTGCTTTGAAATATAGTTGTGATTTAGCAATGCAGCAGACATTCAGTATTAACAGAGTGGCTTCTAAGATGTACTTGTTTATATCTCTGGACCTTCATTATCAGCATATTCTGTTGCCCTTACAGATTACCCGACTCAAGATTGATAGGAATCCATTTGCCAAAGGATTTAGAGATTCTGGACGCAACAGGTGAGCTTTGGAACACCTTGCAATTTACAGAACTCTTGCTGTTGATGATGGGGCTAGACTGTTTTAAATGCTTTAGAGAAATTTCACTGAATACTTTGCACTTCCTTTTGTATAATGCCTTGCTTATGACAGGAGAGAGTGCTGTGTGCATTAGTTTTTTTTGGCACGTCCTTTTGTTGCATTGCTTTAATGAGATGTTATGAGATTTGGAACGTAAAATCTACAATGCAAATTTGAATCACTTTTGTATCACAGGTTTGCTAACCCAAAGCAAATGCTGGCTTTAAAATAAATTGTTTTGTAAGAGAAGCAATGGCTTTGTGCTTTAAAAGCTCTCTCTTCCTGTTGAACACTTGCAAAGTTAGAATTTATATTCTTGAGAATAGCTTAGATTCTTCACATAGGTCATAGAAAATGATCCTATAAAAATCTTTACTTGGGGGATATGAACATTTCTCTTAAGTACTTCAGGAGAAAAATACGATTGCTTTAGTTAAAGAAAATTGGCCATTTGGTAATATAAATTGGAATGGCGGTAAAATGTGAAAATGATTGAAAGCATCTTGTATAAATTATCACCTTGGCTACGCTCCTCCAGGAGGTGGGCTTTTATCTCTACTTTAACTACAAATGAAAAGCCTCCATTAGCACGGGGCGGGGGCAGACTATTTTTTAAATCCACATTTAGCTAATACTTCTGTAACTCTTTCCTGCAAAATTTATTCAGTGTTTCTGGCAACAAAACCTTAGAGAAGCAGCATCATTGGACTGCTTTCAACTGCTGTGCTGAAATGCAATTCCCATCTTGATTTAACTTTCCAAAGAAAGCAAATCCCATAAGTTAATTGTGCATTGTATGAAGAAGTGTTGTGTTTTGTCTTGGCTGTCCAATGTCTACTGCCAATCAGTTTAATTGAGAGAGCCCCAAGCTGCAGGTGTATTAGAGAAATTGAACAATATGTCTGTTATCACATCACTCATAATTTTCTAAACCTCTATCATGCCTGTCCTGCCATCATCTTTCTATCAGACTAAAAATCCTTTAACTTCTTCTCATAGGAAATGTGCTCCAAGTAACCATTTATCATTTTGGTTGCCACTTTTTGGACTTCCCCCAGCTCTATAAAATTCAAAAATAGTTTAAAACTTGTATACTTAACTCACATGTGCCATCTGTGCAGGCTTTTAAGTGGGCTTTAAAAATTATTTAATTACTACTCTTTTTAATAATGGTAAGTATTTTAATTGGGCTGCGGTTATTCTGATTTTGCTCTTTTTATGATTTTATAGTTTTATGGATTGCACTGTTAAAAAGGCTATTTATTGCTGGGTGTAGTTGTTTTGTGTTGTGGTTTTATGCTTCTGGTTTTAAATACATTGGTTATTATATTATTATTAATCTGTTTTCAAAGAGAGCCTACTTGGAATGAAAGTTTCCCACAAAGGCAGGGTATAAATTTATTTACTAAATAATTGTAAATATTTGGGTTTGGGGAAGCATATGTTGGCCAAGAGAAAACGTTTGTATCAAATGTATAAAGAATGTGTCTGAGAACTCTCAGCATGCCTGTTCATAGTTCTCAAAAGAGATCCAGGTCCCATTCTTTTCTATGACTATGTTGATCTATTGAGTTGGGAAAACTGTTGTTGTTGTTGTTTGCCTCTATGTAAAAGATAGCAAATGGACATTCTGGCAATTTCAACAAGTGCTTACATAAAGACGCAACATTCAGGAAGAATTTAATGTATTTTTAGCTTTTAAAATATTTGATTTAGCAGCAGCAACAAGGAAGAAAGCCAAAATCATGTGTCTTTGGCATATTCTTTGCGGGTCACAAGCAAGTTTATTGCAAATGGCTGTGAGGTCCAAACAACCACAGCTTGGCTGCTGTTTGGTTGAAAATATTGTCTTGGAACTAGATTGTTTCAATGTAATACTTCTACTATGTGTGTGTGTGTGTGTGTGTCTGTGTGTGTGTGTGAGAGAGAGAGAGAGAGAGAGAGACAGAGACAGAGCCAGAGAGCAATCATAAAGTACTGTGAAATATAATAAGAAATTATTATTCAACTCATGATTTTGTTATGTTGTATAGGATGGGATTAGAAGCTTTAGTAGAGTCTTATGCATTCTGGAGACCTTCACTGAGGACACTTACATTTGAAGATATACCTGGGATCTCAAAACAAGGTATGAATCTCACTTGGGAACCTGAAGAATGCTAACGATTACTCACTGAGGGTGCAGTCTTCCTCCCATTTTGGTCATTGGAAAAATTTACATTGATTTGAACAGATTTCATCTTTAATCACACAATGGCACAATAATACAATACTCTGCAATTCTGTGCATCCTCAGAAGTAAACTCCATAGAGTGTAATGGGGTTTACTCCTAGGCAAGTGTGTATAGGACTTCAGCCTAAATATAATAACAGTGCTCTTTTCACTGTTATGGACATAAATATAGCTTGTACTCTTATAATTTATCAGAAGGTCGGCAGTTCGAATCCCCATGACGGGGTGAGCTCCCGTTGCTTAGTCCCTGCTCCTGCCAACCTAGCAGTTCGAAAGCATGTCAAAGTGCAAGTAGATAAATAGGTACCGCTCCGGCGGGAAGGTAAATGGCGTTTCCATGTACTGCTCTGGTTCGCCAGAAGCGGCTTAGTCATGCTGACCACATGACCTGGAAGCTGTACGCCGGCTCCCTCGGCTGATAAAGCGAGATGAGCGCCACCACCCCAGAGTTGGTCATGACTGGACCTAATGGTCAGGGGTCCCTTTACCTTTACTCTTATAATTTAATTTCAAAATTATTAATCCATGTTGCGGGGCTTACTAACTGATGTGCTCATGCATCGCTCTTGACATGTGGGCCCAACTAGAGTCAAGCAGTCACATTCTGTACATGGCAGCTGGTGAAAATGTTTCTTGAAATGCAAATAGTACCTTCTAGGAGAAGACTTTTCTCTGGACTGTGGCAGGAAGAGAACTTCTCCCTTTCCTGGCCACCTCATACATCTCTGAGGTTTGCATGCTTTTCCTTAGCGGCTATTTAAGCCACCAAAAAATGGTCCATGCCAATTGCATTTTTGCACATAACCTCATCTCAGGCCATGGCTAGCTTAGCTGCAAGTCATATAAATGTAAGGCTACAGTTATGGCGATAATCAGAAACAGCATGACTTGCAGTGTGTCCCATCTACTTCAGGGGTAGGGTACCAGAAGTGGCCAACCCTCCATGGGCCACTTTGACACTTGGGTGTCCTCATCCACATGTCAGTCACCTGACATATGATATTACGAGATTTAACATTCAAGCTGCAGTTGCAAAGGAAGAATTGGGAGCACACTTCAGTTGCACTCCTGATTCTTCTTTTGCAAGTAACAAATTTTCCTGGGCCTGACAGCATATGATGCCAGGCATGGGAAAGTTGGTGCAAGTCATCCAAAACAGCCCAGAAAGCTAGCCACTGAAGCCTTGTGGACTTATTTACACCTGGTGCAAGAAGTCTCTCTCTGCCCTGCACAATGGATCTAGTATGTCAGGGTTTCTTCCATCTCTGTCTTGCAATTGCCTCTTCAATTGATACTTGCAGCTACAGCTACAGCTACAGCTGTGGTGGTTCAAGAAAGCCAGGTATATGCAACTTAATCCCAGGCTTCATTGCTCCATTGTAAAATGCTAAGCACCTCACACTTCTGGGGGCGGGTATGGGATCTATACTTTTACTTACTTATATACTAGTATTCTACAATAAATAATTCAGGTCTCTGCCCAAAAGCAGTTTTTAATCTGAAACTAAACAGAAAGAAGGAAAAAGGGACAGTAGGTAATTGGGACCTACAGATATACAGATGTGGTTCACCCAATTTGTGATGCTAGGCTAGTGCTGAACTTGAGGAGATGCAGATTCAAACCTCTCCTTACGGGGTGAGCCTGGCCAGTTGCTCGCTCTCTTTTACCCTAACCTCTGTCAACTGTCCTCAGGGTTTTTGTAAGAACTAAAAGGCGGCAGTGGGAGCGGGGAGAGACATATTTACCAGTCTGAGCTTTCTTAGATGGAAGGGTAGAATAAAAACACAAATAAATTAACCATGGATTTCCAATCTCCATTTGTATATTTTGAGAGCCTCTTCAGTTAAACAAAACAGTGAAAAAGCTAAACTGGCCCTAAGCAAATGGTATGTTCAGAGTTCATTAGAGGAATCCCTGGATTAATGTTCAGAACATGATGAGATGAGCAGGAAAAATTGCTGTCCATACCAAATGCTGAAAATTGATCTGGGAGCAGTCAGAGCACTGCTTCACTGCACTAGTAACTTGTACCGTGCCTGGAGTTTTCCATGTGCTTTGGGTTAGTTTTTTTGTCATGGGTGTCAGCCTTTAGTCATATTGAGCCACTTACCTCCCACAAGAAGGGGAAGATATAAGGTTACCTTTATTTTGCCAGCAGTTGACTCAAGATGCAAACAAAACAATTCCTGATTGATAGTTTAATTTTTATTGTTTCATTTATGATTAGGTGTGAGAGTCAGTATTATTTCACTCTGGTTTTAACATTCTCAATTTAGTATGTCCTGCTTAGCTTGCTGGCTAGTGGAACAAATTATGAAACTTTGCCAATTCTAAGCCTGAATTGCTACGCAATTCAGATATTACACATTGACTTAAAAAACGGGTCTGAGCTGAAGGTTCAACTTTAGTAAATGTGTCTTCAGTAAACTGCAAAAACTGATGTATTGCAAATCTTATAAAGCCCTTTCTATAAATTTTGCAGTGCGTAGTGAAGTAATGCGTAGAAAAACGTATATACATGGGTAAAATGTCCACAAAAAATGTACCTATTTGTGAAATCACATACCAGAATGCAATATTTTAAGGGCAAAATGTTGCCTGGCAAAAATGTGACTATTGGGCAGAATTAGTACTATAATGCTGATAAATATTCATATGGATTTTATTTTATATAAAAGAGCCACAACCTGTTAAAAACTGAAGATGGGAAAACGTGAAACAGAGAGAAACCAAAATTGGCATATTCACCCAACCCTATATGCAACAAATGTTGCATTAACCTAGCATACATTCAATTTTTTTCCTCATCAAAATTAATGTGACTTGAAAATGGTAACTTTGGCTAGACATTTTTGTTGATAGCTGTTTTGGCACCAGACATTTTTGTTGATAGCGTGTCAGTCCCAGAGCATGTCAAGATAATTTGTGGTATACACACCCACACCCACATATATACATACGTATACTCTTTAGCCCTGTAACAACCCCCCCCAACACCTTTTAAAGGCAATGCTCTAGTCTTTAACATAACCAGAATTCCAATCTTCTGTTTTCCATGCTAAGTCATTTCAGAGTTATATTCAACAACAGCAAAATAATAGACAATAAGGCAAGAAGTCATTTTCTTCTTCTAAAATCATTTGCTTCAGAATTTCCATAAAAATCCAGCACTAGAATATAAGCATAGGCAAAAACTCCAGGGTGATTCAATTTTGTGAAAACTATGTGGGGAAAACGAGTGTGCCAGAAGTATTTTTTTGATAGGAAGTTAGTTTTGGATCTGAAATCTGCATTATAGAGATACTGATGTAGATGTCCCTTAGGACTTTGCTTGGTGTTTTTCATTCCATATTAATTGCCAGGGATTATGGTGATGTAAAATAAATACCCCTCCTAAATACTTAAGGAGCAGAGTTAGAAGAGTGATACCATTTTAATAAGTTTCCTACTAGCTATGTATGGCTTTGTAAAAAAGAATCTTCTCTGTATTTCCTCCTCTTGCTTAGGGCCACACAAGCTGGTGTTAGCAGGTGTTTAGCATTAGAAAGAGAGCCCAAGAAAACTCTTCCATATGATACACTTCCCCATCTTCTTGGCTTGACATCCCCTTTAGAGAGTGTACCGGTGTCCTGTGGTCTTTAAAAGAAATAGGAAAAAAAAATTCTAATTGCCCAGGCATTGGGATTTGGGAAAGGACCTTTGACTCCTCCTTATGAGATGCACTGATCCGGATTCCAAAATTAATGAGAAAAACATGTTCATGTAATTAGTTCTAAGTGCTTCATGTGACTTTGCATAGCTGATACAAAGTGTAGCCTAAGGCAGACGTGGGCAGATGCAAGTGGAGTTAAGGCTTTAAAAAAGTAAATTAAAACAAAAAAGTACCCACCACTGCCATAGGAAGTATCCCCCTCTGACTAATTTCTGCCCCCTCCCAAAACCACTGGATTCCCCTCTCCCAAAAAGAACTGTCCTTAGCAACAATAAATGTGTCACCTGTGAATGGGCACTCAGTGTTGAACTTCGAAATTCACCAGCTGAGGCCAGGTAAAATTGAGCTGATTGGGCTAGAAGAAGACTAGGAAAGTTTGCTCAAGGGCAGGTTACCTAGCAGAACCCATGTAAACACACCTTGGTATGAATTACACATGTGAGCTAAAAATAGATATCCGAGTGGCTACAGATTGGAGTCAGCACAGAGCTCCAAAACTAGCCAGCAGTACTGCACAAGGGGAGGAGACTGACAACAGCTTGCTAAAGACTTGTATACCAATCTAAAGGCAATGTGGTCAGTGGACTGCAGTCAGTTTCTGTTTAGTGGAAGCTCCCCGCCCCCCCAGTCCAATCACGTGTGTCTGTGTGTGTGTGTGTGTAAGATTGTGCTGAGAAGCACCATGAAAGCCATCCAACCCTATAAATGCATCATAGTTGTAGCAGTGTGAAGTGGTGTGACTAGCAAGAGTTGGGCAGCTCCGTGACCCTGCTCAACAAACACTCCAGCCTCAGGATTGATTGATTGATTTATGACATTTGTCATAAATCATTAGAATCATTAGAATTAATCATTAGAATTTCTAAGCGGTGTACCTGAATAGTAATCATTTGGATTACATTGCTATTTGGATTCATGGATTCTTCTATATGTATATATATTTTTAAATGCATGCTACCCCTGGGGGGAAAGCTTCTACTAAACAAAAACTTACTGCAGTCCACTGGCCACCTTGCCTTTAGTGGACTTAAAGCGGTGTATCGTATGAACAGAGAGGTTTTCTCCCTCTCTCATAGTACCTGAGCCACCCAAAGATGCTGAATCCTGGAAGGTTCGGGGCACACAGAACTTTTTCCCTTTTTAAACTATGGAATTTGCTCCTACAAGACGTAGCGACGGCCATCATCTTGGATGATGTTTGGAAGGAGTTAGATATGTTCATGGATAAGGCTAACCATATCTGTGAGAAAGGCCAGAAGCACTATGCCTCCAAATACCAATTTCTGGGACCCATAGGTTGTCCTCCTTGTGGCCTTGCCAGAGACCTCTGGTTGGCCACTGTGAGAAGAATATGCTGAAGTAGATTGGTGTGATCCAGCAGGACCCTTCTTCCGTTGCTTATTATCAGTCATCTTGCTTGGAGCTTCAGTATTGCTGTTTGAGAATTGTATTGTAGAAATATGTGGATCTGCAGGGGGGCGGGCGGAAATGGCTTGCCTTCAACGAAAGTAACTTTAATACTTATGTCCTAAGGTATAGTTGTACTGTAGATGTACCATTTGAAGGGGGGAAATCTGGATTCAAATCCATCATTAGCCAGGAAGTTTCAACAGATCTATATCAGTCTAACTTACCTTACAGGGGTTTTGTCAAAAGAAAAGAGTGCAATCCTATTTAAGCCACCTTGAGGTTCGAATATGTATGTAATAAATAATTCTCTTTTCATAGGATGCCATTTTATACTTGGATATGTTTTTTCTTCTAGGAAACGCTGGCTCTTCTACTTTGCTCCAGGGAACCGGAAACGGAGTACCAACCACTCACCCCCACCTGCTCCCGGGGTCCCCTTGTTCTTCTCCTGCCTTCCACCTTGCTCCCAACACTAGCCAGCTCTGCAGCCTCGCTCCAGCTGACTACACAGCTTGTGCCCGTTCCGGTCTGGCCCTTAACAGATACAGCACTTCCTTGGCCGAAACCTACAACAGGCTTACAAACCAATCCAGCGAGACCTTTGCAACCCCAAGGACTCCCTCCTATGTCGGTGTGTCGGGCAGTTCGACCGTGAACATGCCTGTGGCAGGCAGCGATGGCGATGCGTTTGGCTGCCCTCAGACAGGCTTATCGATGCAGATTTCAGGGATGTCTCCGCAGCTGCAGTATATCATGCCCTCGCCGTCAGGCAACGCCTTCGCTGCAAATCAAACCCACCAGAGTTCCTACAACACTTTCAGGCTGCACAGCCCCTGTGCTCTGTACGGATACAACTTCTCCACGTCCCCCAAACTGGCTGCCAGTCCTGAGAAAATCGTTTCTTCCCAAGGAAGTTTCTTGGGGTCGTCGCCAAGTGGAACCATGACCGATCGGCAGATGTTGCCCCCTGTAGAAGGAGTGCACTTACTTAGCAGCGGGGGGCAGCAGAATTTCTTTGACTCCAGGACCCTAGGAAGCTTAACGCTGTCATCATCTCAAGTATCTGCACATATGGTTTGATAAAGCCTTTTTAAAACAAAAGTACATTGGTTTCTACAATGTATTTCCTTTTCGGGATTATGCTAAGGTGATTAATGTGCCTAGTAAGGTGTTTATGCTTTAAAAAAAAAGTCATCAAGGGAAGTTTGACTTAATCTTTTGACTTGCCTATCGGCAGATATTTGAATATGTGCTCGTGTTCAGAGTTAAGCCGAGTTTGTTTGCAGAGCAGCCCATTTAGTTTCCTGGTAGCAATAGACTTCATTTTATAACACGTTTGGCCATATGCAACAAATTAACAAGGGCTTCCTGCAGCACTCTTTCCCCCCACATCTTTCCCTCTTTAAAGAACAAAACAACACTCAGGTCTGATTTAGATGAAACAAAAAACACTTTTAAAATATATATAACTACCATTTGGTAACAGCTGTCCTTAAAGCGTTCTTACCACAACGTGCTGGTGCCACAATGCACGCATTACTTCTCTGTTGTAAGAGAGATAATAAACATATGTGGGCTTGCATTAGGCTTAGTTCAGAAGTCTGTCAAATTTTCTAAATAAAGGGACAGGATGATCTCCCTTCTCAATCTTTGTGGTGTATCTGGCTTTTCATGCGAGCACTATGAAGAGACAACGACCTAAATTAAGCATTGGAACAGGCAACACGGCCTATTTTTCTGTACAGAATGAATTTAAAGGAGGCTTGCTCCATGTGAAGAGAGTATAAAGATGATAGAGATTTTTATATTTTAAAATATTAAATATATGTTTGCAAATAGAAAAGACAAGGCAGGACTTCTACATATTTCCATAAGCTTTCTATTTAAGAATGGTGTTAGGAACAGTAGCAGAGTGGTGGAGAGGGAGGGTGGCACTTGCCTGAGCTGGTAGGTGGGTCACTGTTGCTTAAGAGGAAGGAGAAGTGGAGGGGCAAGGTGCTAGGCAGGTTGGCACTCTGCAGTTTGTATCAGCAGGAACACCATATTGACTCCTCCATTGCATTTGCCCAGTGACCTGCCTGCTGCCTTGCCCCTCCCTCCTGGTAAGCAGCAATGATCTACCTGCTGGGGCGTCAAGTAAGCATCACTACTATTTCCCACCATCCACTCCAGGGTAGGGTGCTGTGGAAAATCACCCTTTCTGTTTCAGTAGTTCTACAAATCATTTGCTCACACACCTTTGTCACAGTATAGCTAAGGCTGCAATCCTATGTGGTACACCCTTTTCTACAAGGAAGCCCCACTGCACAGTGGTGCTTACCTCTGAGTAGACATTCATGATATTACACTGTAAACCTTACTGCTAGCTTGTTTTGAGTGTGTTCCCAAGAGCAGAAGAACATACTGCGTAGATTTGGGTCATCTGAAGCCTCTTCTTTCCAGGGACAGTGCCTGGCAGTGTGTTGACAGACTTCTGCCACATCTTGTGGTGACACTGGCAACTGGTGTAATGCAAGGAGCTTCAGTCAGAATGGAAAAATGGCCATGCTTCAGTAGATGTGCAGAAGCAGCAGTGTACATTTCTTATAACCTCTTCGAAACCCTACAAGTATGATGTTTCTAGTTGTGGGGTAAGAAACCTAAACTGTCCACATTTTCTGCTTGCACCACCATGGGCAACAGTTGTTCCCCTTCAATACACAAAACTTTAGCATTTCCCTGCCCCCATCCCAACAAACACTTGATTATAATTTTTTTCTCCTGATTGTTTTCTGAATATTTGTTTTGCCCGTAGACATTAAAAGGAAGAAAAACATCAACAAGACACAATTAAAGTAACTACACCGCTGTGCTATATAGAATACTAGAACTGCAACTGCAGAATAAACTGTTCGTTATCCTTTTAGCAATCTTACATCTGCAGAGCAGTGAAACGAGAGTAGAAGTATTCAGGTCCAGAAATATTTTGTCTGGCTATTCCAATTGCAGATAGGATTTGTTCAGACTTAAGCAACGGCTCTTGTCAGATAGGTTCTGAGAAGTTCTTGTATCCTTTATACCTGGTATACCTTTTGAATTTGAGTGCCCAATTTTAAACTCAAGCCACATTCTGGTATAAGAGGTTGGGATCCAAAAAGCCTTGTGAATGAAGAGGAAGTGTTTCCACAGGTGCATAGGGCTGGTGTTTCCTTTCAGCAGCATCTTTTCACAACACTTTGGACCCTACTCTGGGGAGACCACCAGCTTCCAAGATTGGCTTTCTGAAGGCTGTGAGTGGCTACAGTGGGAAGGGCAGGAAATATGCACAGTGTTCTATGCACGGCTCTTTGGATCCTGGCCAATATTGTATGGTTCCTTAAACCCATAATATCAACCTTGCTTGTGAAGGTTTATGTTTCACGCATTAGAAGTCTATTCGGCTAACCTGCATAACTGTAAATCTTGAAGTATGTTGTGTGAACACTCAGCAAGCACAATGTTATAAAAGCACATTAGGTTTATAGTTCTGGACCATCTTACTGTAGCAGCAAACGCTTGTTTCAGTAGGATTTCCTATTGAAAATGTAGGATCGTAGTTCTAAAAGTGTTGGCATGACAAAAATGGTTGTGCCAATAAGTGGAAGCAAATATGGCACCGCAAATGATGTTAAACATGTATCTGAATTGCAAAATTTGAATTTAGGATTCTGGATGAGATTCTCCTTGAGTTTGGATGTCTCACATCAGTGTCTTACACGTTTCTATTCTAAGTTTGTCAGATATCCTGAACAATTGTTTTATTTGTTGCATGAATGCTGTTACAAAGGCAGTGAAGTTTCAAATAACAAAAATATATTAAATAAGATCCCTGCATTGCAGGGGCTTGGATCAGATGATCAGCTCTACAATTCTGTGATTCCAACACAGTTACAAGGAATCCTGCTATAATTGAAAACATTAATATTTAAGTTACATGAAATCTTAAATGGACATGATGCTATATTTAATTTTTTAACGCAAATGAATTATATGCTGCCACCTTAAAGGAAGCTATGCTAAGAAGTGATGGGGCAAAATGGACCATGAAGGTCAAGGTCATGCTGTCTTGTAGCAAAAAAATGCAGCACAACCGAACCCCCTGGGTATATATGCACAATTATAACAGTATCTGCTTTGTAATTTCTATTGGATTTCCATTATCCTGCCTTTTTTGCAACATTTCCCACCTCATATATTAATAAAGCCATGGTATTATAATTGAAACACCTTTTCTCTTAAAATGCAGTTGCTGCTGTACATAGTAAATGGTGTATGATTACAAAGTCCAGCTTTTCATGGAATATAATGAATGCCAAATATGCAGTATATCTGTAATTATATATAGCTGTATTTTGTTTTTTAAAGCCACAGAAATGATATTAAAGTGTGTACCTAAAAACACTTTTTATTAAATTTTGAAAATAAAAATCCTTTAAAACCAACAACAACCCTAAACCTACAGCCGTCCTCTTCAGAAAAGTGTTGTGCATTTTGATTGCGTGTTACATTTCTTCTTGAGGAACTCTCAGTGTGATATATCTTCCTGTCACTTTCTCCCTGCAGGGTGTTAACATTTTAATATGGTAAACGTAATACAGGAGTGGAACTGCCTGCTCCTTAGCTATCTTTAACATAGCGTGAAACAACAAAACCTTAAGCACCTGGTACAAGCTTACCTTCGGAGGTGGCAATTGGAACTCATAACAGGAATTATGTACAAGGAAATCATGGTCTGACTCTACAGCCTTCTAGGCATGGGCAGTGGAAAATTCTGGTGTAAAGAAACCATGCAGCAAACCATGGGAGAGGTTTTTTTTCCATAATCCGGTCTCAGTATGCTACTAAAATTAGGGTATAAATGCAACCAGCTGCAAGTTGCAGAGGAATGGGGGTTTGCAGTCACACAAGACAGCAAAACCCCCATGTTGCTGTAGAATATGTAATGGCTGCATTATTAAAGGTCTCATCACGATCCATTTCCCTCAAAACACTTGTCCCAGGTGTAAAAGTTGAGGAAATAAGTACCACTTGGATGTCATTACGCACACAGTCGGTAGGCTTGCGGAGTGAGAAATATATGTGGAGTTCTTTTACGTGCTTAAATTTAAACCTGTTGCTATCTGTCCCCTCTTGTCATTTGAAGGTGAAGGTTGTGATAAATGTTGAGCACATGAAGAGTCTAATGCAGGCAGCCAACCAGCGACGTTTTTATTTTGGAACACAGGAATGAACGGCTTGCCAAGCTGAACTAGCCCCTGACAGACCCTTGCTATTTTGCCACATGCCTGAACTCATTCCAAAAGATGTGACGATAGGATGAGAGCTGTTTATCGGCCAGATCTAGAAAATTAACACTCACATACATGTTCCACTTGGCTTCTCCCTCTCTCTGCACCCCCCAAGTATATGGTCTGTTTTTGCTGCCTGATAAAAGGAGGGAAAGATATTACTCTGCTCTCCAGATGATTTAGACCACAGCTCACATCAGGCCAAGAACATGGTCAATGGTGATGGAAGTTGTCCTCAACATCTGGAGGGCACAATGTTGGCTACCCCTGACTTAAATGTTGCAGAATATATTGATTCACTGGCAAATGTAAGTAATTGATGGTTGCACCACACTTGAGGTGAGGAGGTAGAAAATGGCATGGTGGCAACCACAATAGAAATATCTGCTATAATATGTGTGGTCCTTGGAAACCCCTTGAAAACACAGCTATTGCTTCACCTGGCTAAACCAGGTGGGGGTAGCCAATGGCTCTCAAATTCTCAGTGACTTAGGGACTTAGGCTAGGTTCCCATGGATTGAGCAGATGAGACCAATAGTGGACCCAACAGTCCAGAAGGTGGTTTCTTTACATGCTGTAGAGGGAGGTGAGGGGCAGATGGGGTTCATAAACCTGGAGAAGGAAAGCTCTGATCCTTCTCTTGTCATGCGGAATATCTTCAGGAGAAGAAAAGGCTAAGGCGTAAACCCTACACTAAATATAGCTCTCCTGAAATCTGGCAAGATTCAACCCCCCCATCAGGCAGGGTGAATATGCCTGCAAATTTCAAACAAGTCTGCCAAAAATAAAGGTATACAGGTAGATTGTTCTCGATATCTAATCTCAAACTTTTTCTTTAAAGATTGCCAGCACAAAAAAAGCCTGGACCTATTTGCTTGTAGTTTTGTAGGCTTTATCTTACCTAATTGATTACCTGCAAATTTCATCTACTTCTGCAAAAAACCCACCAAATACTGAAGGTGAGGGTGAAACTTCATCCCTGCCCCCCAAATTGGCCTTGGCCCCCAAGGCAATTTTTCCAGCTTCCAAAGTCCTCAGTATCAAAGTGAGCCATTTCCCAAAGTGTTGAATCAAGATCTTGTGGTCTCTAGTGTAATATACAGCACACAACTTCTGGTCTTTTGATGACACATCTTTCCATTTAGTTTTTTGTGTCTGCTACTACTGAGTTATAATATTAGACTGTAGATTTCAAATTGTATTTTTTTATAGTAAGCTGCTTTGGGCATTTCAGGGGGGATGTAGCTAAATAATTTAACAAATTAATAGCTAGTAGAGGTATCCCACACTGGGTAAATAGGCCTGATTCTGATAGGAATTTCTACACATAATCATGTGTCTCATAGAAGGCAGCTAGTGAATCTCCTCAGAGATCACTTTGCTCTGACAATATTTCCTCAAGTCTTTTATTGCCTAGCACTGTTTCTGACATAATAATTATATATGTGTGTCGGTGCACTACCTTGGGGGCCAAAGGGCCTTTTGGTCAAAAGGCAGGCGTAAAAATAAACTACCTACCTTTATCCCCCATGGTAGCTGTTCTGAGTCTGCCCTGTATCACCAAGTCCTTAATATACTATCTATCATATGCTGCAGCGCTCCATTCCCTGCTTCACGAGTGTATGGGATGGATAGTGTGCATTATTGACTGTCACAGAAAATGGAAGGTTTCCTTGAAGTTGCTTTCGCCTATGCAATAGGAAAAGAGACATCAGGGTGGGGAGAGTTCTCTCTAAGAGTTCAGCAAATTGGCCTATTACTTTATTTCCCTCTCAAACATTAACATTTTTGCCCAGGTTTGGTAAAGCAGCTTAAGAGGAAGAGGTGTACAAATAAACAGATTTGTGGACATATCATGTTTTGCACTATTATTGTGGTGGTTCTTGTAGACTATGGTAATCAGGAAATCTACACAGTCACAACAGAGGGGGCAAAGCACACTAAATGGTTCTCTTCAGTAGGTTTCACCATCCTGGTGCACCCCTGATGTCATGGACTGCAACTGCCTGAGCATTGGCTGTGCTGTCCAGGACGGATGAGAACCGTAGTCCAAAGCATCTGCAATAGAAGGGCAACTGGAGGAACCCCAGTGTGTTGCACCAGCTTTACAAAGTGATCCATGTAGGATTGCATGAGGCAGCTACACTCATCGTCCTTGCGTGTTTCTTGTGCTTGTGAAGCGAAGAACTGGGAACAGAACACACTGTCTAAATTTTCCACAACCGTGCTCCAATGGACTGTGCTTCTGGCAAGCTTGCTTTGAGCCAATGGTCTCCAATGTGATGATTTCCTCATGCTCAGAGAACCTCTGAGCCGAATCAAGTTGGTGGTCGCAGCTACTTTTCCTATGCTGCTGACTGTCGTGTAGGCTTACAGTAGGTGAGTCCAGCAGTGGAGCACCAGGAATGGATTCTGGACAGCTTTCCTGGCCTGTTAATGGTTGGCAGAGTATTTGGTGACAGTTGCAAGAATCCGATGCACAGCAGTATCCTTTACAGCAGTTTAATCTTTGTCATCAAATCCTCCAGCAGCCATGATTAATAGCAGCACTTGAGCCTAGTTTGAAAGTTGTATATTTGGCAGCTATGAACTTTGATCTATGGTTTCACTTTAAAGAATCATTATGACACAAACGTCTCCTGTGATCCTTCCCTCTAATTAAACCACACACAAATACAACATGGAGAAATCCGATGCTATTGATATAAGCTCTGTGTTTATTACGATATTTTAGGCACTTTATTAAAGTGGACTGTCCTTCCCAGCAAGATAGTAGATAAGCTCCCTAAGAACAATAATATCAACCAGAAGCATCACAAAAAGGAATTTCCCAAGGCCAGAGTTGGCTTGAAATTGGCTCTGTTGGTTTATACAGCACCCAAAGCTCAGTTAAAGGCTCAGGCTTTTTAACCCAAGCTGACATTAGTTTAATTCAATGATCCCAGCTCTTGGGCAGGCTTTTCCACAAACCATTTCCCTTCCCTGACTGACACACAGTAGCTACCCACAGAAAGCAGAACTGTGGCCGGGACAAATGTACAAATGCATCCAGCACCAAGCTACAAAATGGCTGCTCACAGGGGTGGACTTGCAAATATGGCAACTATTCACAGCAGCTGCCCACTAGACAAGGCAAAAGAGAGGCTCACACACTGCAACTGCTCACCAGCCTGGAGCCTGCACAACACAGTTTTGCAGAGAGACGCAAGCACCAACATGCAGATCACCGACATGCATACAGCTCCTACATGCAGAGGTGTGCACAGAAGCAGACTACATATATGTGCACACAAGATGCCCACACCTATTTCAACCAACCACAGCATGCTGCTCAGCACAGCGTCCGTGATAGACAGCTGCACAAACATGCTTGGCAGCCAGCTGGACAGATGCACACAGCAGCTGCCCCACCCCAAGGTGTGCAGCAGCAGCTCAGAAACATGCACACAGTGACCCACAAGCATCTACCCACCTACAGTAGTTGCCTGCAGAATCAGGCACAGGAGTTGCCCGTGCACACATCTACAACAGCAGCTCAAATGAATGCACAACTCCATGCGGTGGCTGCCTGCACTACTGCACTCCGCGGCTGCCCATAGTAGCTCCCCCCCACAGATATGCACAGCAGCAAACAAATGCATCTGGCTTTGGCTATCAGGAAGCATGGTCCACCCATATAAAATACTAGGCTCTCCCATTCCCCCCTCCTTTTAACATTTAATAATTAATTAAAGTGTCTGTTCGTAACTGGCCCCCTTCTTTAAGAAGACAACAGAAGGGCATGCTCTGGATTTATGAACCATATTAAGATGCTTGCTATTTTATCTTCAACTCCACTGTAATTATTCTAGACTCTGAGTTGCTTCCTCCTCTACCACCATGGAGAGAGAAAAAGGAACACAGCAAATCAGAAGCGCGCCCAAAGACACTGAAAACAAACAAACATAAAAGTGAAATATGAATAAGATCCAAAAATGCACAATAAGTTCATACAATAAAATGCATAATGCAAAAATAACTACATTCCCATGGAATCCTCTGCATGTTTAGTTGGATGCAAATCCCACAGTGTTCAACTGGGCTTACTTCCAGGGAGTGTGTATACCTCAGACCCGGGGCCAAATGCAGCCCTCCAGACCTCTATATCTGAAC